TTTTTTATTTGATGCCTTCTTCCTAAAGGAAAATCCTAGGTGTTGTCGATTTATATGTTGTCAAGGCTTTTGACCAAGCTTTTGCATGCCAATTACAAGCTTGGTTCTATGTATCAGGAAAAAAAGAACGTAATTGTGGCATTTTGAGGACCTTAAATTGGAATATTTAGGTCAATACCTAACTAAAATTTTATAAGCACACGTGGTTAATTGTTGAACCACAATGTCTGAAACCGTTGCTTTTTTTCAAGTTAATTTTTAATATATCACTTACAATAATTACATTAAAATTAATTCATCACAATTTAAAATTACGTGGATTTATCAAAACATTTGTTAAATGACTTCTTACATAATTTTTTATTTTAATTAAATAATTATAAGATTGAATAATTAAAAAAATTATAAGTAAAATACCGTTAGAACTCCAACGCCTTTACCTGTTATTAATTATAGGAAGATGGGGTGGCACATCAATGTGTCCGAAGTAGGAATCAGCAGAAACTGGTTTCCCCATCAAATGAAAAAGTATCTGGCTATCAACATATGATAAACAGTGATGAAGGAGACCCATAGATATCTGCCTATCAACATATGATATACGGTGATGAAGGAGACCATAGATAAGGTTCATAACAGGTGGCTTTTCTCTTGTGGTGCTGTCAAGTTTCAAAATTTATTGCTCCATAGATGAAATAACCCAATTGCATGTCACTCTCTTTTAGAATTAATTAGATATTCCAAATAGAATTGATAATTCCGAATTTGCATTAGCCCCATTAATTTTCCCTTACGATTGCACGTGATTGTAGTTTTTATATTTTTTATTATTAAAATTAAAATTTTAATATTTTATTAATAGATTACACATGTAAAAATTTATATTTTTTTTACGAGATATTATTTATTTTAATTTAAAATTTTGATAATTTTATTTAAAAAAATCTCATAAAAATAAGCATTTAAGTATTTCTTATTTTCCAAGTATACAGTAATACCCTTTTCTTCATTTTTCCTTTCTCAAGTATTCATCATGATTTTTTGGCTTCTTTCTAGCTAGCCCTTTGATCTTAAAATAATGTTGTTGCAGGAAAAAAATGGCACATAATTATTTTGTTTTTTGGCTCCATTAGTTGATGGAAAATAATTAATTAACTTCATTTTCAATCCTTAAATAATTTTCAAAAAGTTGAATCATGATTAATGTTAGCATATGATCTGAATAAAAAAAATAGATCAAAAACCAAATGCTGCCAATCTGCCATTACTCTTTGCACTTTTTTTCTACAATCTTCTTCATCAATTAATAAACAATATATCAGAGATGAGAAAAAGGAAATAATGGTCGGTTTTTGTAGGGTCGAAGAGGAGTCTATTTCAGCTTTTGCAAAAGGGTACCAAAACAAGTTCAATTTCTATTTTCCATGCGCTAGATCATGTTCACACGTTTTCTTTTTTCTTCTTTTTCCCCCAATTTCTTCGGGTTATAGCTTTTAATCTCAACAACTTGCGGGTTTGGTAGGTCTCAGAGTTTCCTTTTCCTTTTCGCCTATCAGCTGCCAAAGTCTTCTTTTCCCTTGACAGCGGACACCATATGATTTCAAAGACATTCAATACAAATTATCCAAATCCCTGAAACAGAATCTGGAAAAGCTACATAATTAACAATTGAGATTGGGAGATTGTCTGGGGAACTTTCTTTTTGTTCGGATTATGAGATTTTAAACAGGTTGCTCTTTAATCTTTACAAGTTAATCAACAAGCAGTCTCAGTTTTTTGGTCAAGTCAGTCAGGGTCGCTTTGTTGGACTCGTGGTGCACAAAACCAAGATGAGCATGAACGTACCACGTGCTACTTTAAACGAGCAAAGGGAAAAAAGCAGCCATCAAAGATCAAACCCTCCACCAACCTTTGCCCTCTTTTCGGCTCCAACCGTCTCAAACAGAAATCAACATCCCCAAAAGAAAAAGCAGATAAGGGGTTTCCTATATCAAGCTCAATCGTGCATGGAAGAATAGTGTAAAGGTGATTATCACAGTAAAGTCAAGCTATTATAGAGCTGTCATGTTATCTAGTCTTGGTCCAGTTTTGTTACAAACTTCGTATCTCTCCAGGGAGGGGTCTTTTATGACTCTGGAATCTGCCTTCATCGTGAAGGCAAGCATGAGATTGAGATTTTTTCTTTTGGATATGGAAAAATTATCTGAATTTACCAAAACATTCTTATATATTTGCTTGTCAGCAGATAACATTCACAATTAAATCTGATCATATCTCTCGAGTGTTAGAGAGTAGGAATTCAAGAACAAAGAAGATTATGACAACATTTTCTATGAAAAAAAAAGTTGTAAAATATTCCATTTGCACCAATCAGGGAAAGGAAGTTGACTGGAACCAAGATTTTTAGAGAAACTATCATAATCTACAAGGAAACATATTCAAAGTACTTGCTCATAGTGGGAATGGAACCAAAAATCATTTCTCTCCCACTTTTTTTTGTTAATTTAAAATATGTTAACTAAAGAAAAGAATACATATATTATTTTTAAGGAGAATCACATTCCAAGTGTTTTTTATTTATATTCTGCTTCTAATGAGAGAAGGTTTGATGCTAAGAACATCCAATCTCTTATAGTTGAATTGGATGCTGTTGTGCTGTCTCAATTCTTGAATTAGAAATGAGTTGAACGTAAATCATGCAGAAGGATAGATTCAGGAAATTCAACATATCTCATGATAAAGTAATAGATCATGTGCAGATGGTTTGGGTATTTTGTTTCAACATATTGATTTATAAACTCATATTTTAGATAAACCTCCAATTGAAGATTTAGTCACTGGAAGAAGATATGTTGGTATAGCAACACTTTGTAGTTAACCAGTTAATCTGGATATTATAAGCAATTCAACGTTAATGAAACATTCAACCTGTCAATCAAGGCAGCCGAAAACCCCAAAAAAACATATCATCCAAGAAGTCTTCTAAATCACAGAAACATCCGTGTTGGTAATAATTCAAATTTTATTAAGTAAAGACGCATGCACCCTTTCATGTCTATTAGTGGCAAGCTTAGACACTAAGTTTATTATACATGTCAAGGAGTGACACAAATATTAACTACCATAGGACTCTTGTTAGACATGTGCAATAAATTGCTTACTAAGCTTAAAATTATTAGCTACAAATAGGCTACAATAATTCGTTTGAATAAAAAAAATTACTTTCATTTAAACGTACAAGCCTTATACATTTTTTTTAAAGTTTATTAATTAGCTTTAATTATTTTAGTTAGCCTAATTACTTAATTAGAAACATACACTCCAACAAAGTGTACTTGAATAACAAAAAGAGGTTTCCATAAGGTGACAAAGAATTCCATAAACTTTAACCTTTTTAGGGTTCGATCTTATCATATCAGCATCTGATTAATTTTTCCCAAGAAAATTCCCATATAACCCGCAGAAAATTTTGGTTCATAGGCTCATATATTGTTCTTATATTTTATTACCCATTTTCATTGATAGAGCATCTGTCATTTGATTTGCTTCTTTCATCATATTTTTTTAGATAAGAAAAAAAAATAGTCGTAGCACTACTAACAAATAAGGGTTCATAAGGAAGATTAATACGTAAACAAGTTGGCAACGGAATATCAATTCAACTGTTCGACGCTTTTTCAGTGATCCAATATCTTTACCTGTTTAACTGTGTTCTCCCAAGTGGCAGACAGAGCCAGAGAAAATCAATTCTTCCTGAAAAATATCAGCTTAGGGACGATTTTTTTTCCTTCACTTTCCCTTCCCCTACGCATAAAATCATTCAAAAGTCAATGAATTTATCATTAATCAATCCACCATTATCCTGAGCTTTGCTGAGGACGATCTTTGGGTCTAGCTTTGACCAGTCGCGGATGCAAAGTTTGCTTTAGGATGTTAATAGACATCTTCAAAAAAATGAAAAATAATAAAATTTGAAAAAAAAATTGGATACTTATAAAATTTTCTTTAAACAACCTCAAAAAAAAATTAAAATAAAATTTTACTTAAAATATCCTAAATTTTTTTTTTCTAAAAACACGTTTTATTAATAAAATCAATAAATACATCTACGTTTCTTATATATATTATAAATTAACATTAAAAAATCATGAATTTACCGCTTGCTTTCACCTATTAACCCTTAACAGTGGCCAAATTTGTTCAATAAAACCGAACGTTAGGAAAGAAAGTGAGTGACACTCTAGTATTATTACACGTGAAGGGTACTGATAAAAAAATATTCTTGAATTTATCATTTGGAGATCAAATCTCCTCTGTTTCTTTTCTAGCCTCCAGACTCTGACGACTCGTCTACTAGTGTATTGAACACGATAATTACTACGTAATTGTAAGTGTCAAGGCAAAGCCTATTATCATAGTATCATTGTCTTTTGGGGACAAACTTCACTGAGTCTTGGCCCCTCAAAATAAAAAGGTGGCTGGTGCATGGCAATTGGGTCAAAAAGGAGCCAACTTGGAAGGTTGGCCCAGGCCGTAAAGCAGCAAAACAGGAACAATAAAAAGCTCAAGCAGCAACTTGGAAGGCAACAGCATGCTGGGTTGTGTGGGGAAGAGACCAGCAAATCAAAAGTGGACCCGCTTCCTGCTTAGGGATTTTTGTCCAAATCTACCTAAAAAACAGATGTAGGGAAAAAGTAAAAAAATTCGCATTTCATTCAACCTAGAACAACTTAGCCTGCTTGACCATTTTTTCTTTTTTTGTTATCTTTTCATTTGCCCCAGTATATGAGGGCCTTGTTATCAAAAAATGGTACCTTTGAAGTCAGACAACTTATTGGGCTTTAGATTCCAGATAAGTCGGACAAACGAATATCACTAAGCCCACATATCATCAGACAATAATAACATTGAGCCCAGCCCACGATATCAGCCTGCTAGTGTTCCATACTCTTTAATAATTTCCGACGGGGGTAAAAATGACAAATTTGGACAGTCAAATCTAATGTTTAGAAGTACTTAAACATATTACAGTGCCTGGCTTTGAACCGTTCTTCTCAAAGAACCATCAGCATGAGTGAGCATTGAGTAACTGTAGCAGGTGAAAATGCAACAGCCAACATGAAAGTGGTTTTTTCCTTTCATACATATTAAACTGCTAGTAATAATAGTTCTTGATGTCTAAACTTAATTTACATGTTAAAAAATAAGTTCTCAGAGTTGAACACGTACATACACAACAGCAACCTGATATACAAGTTTAAAAAAGAAACTGCATCTATAGTAAAGAGCTCAAGCTCCTAAACAAGCTATTGATACAAAATTTAGTTATATCATGCATCACAGCTGACAACTGACACATCACATATGTTTCACCAACATTATTAAAAGCATAAAGAAGTCGCAAAGACATAAATATAACATCTAATACTACCAAGAAAAAACGCTGCTCGTCATTAGTAAAACAACCTCGTAAGCTTGAGTGCAGAACCAAAAAGTGGAAAAGATTAGGCAAACACCTCACCATTGGCTGTAGCAACTTCGGGATGGTAATGAAGCATTTCCTTCCACATCATCTCCCTAATCATCTCTTCCCCTAAATCCTCATCTATGTCAAGATTGATTGGCACCTGGGCTGGAGGATTGCAGTTAGGATCATACAAGGGTGCCATGTAAGGATGTTGGAGTGCTTCAGTTACACCAATCCTTTTTGAAGGGTCAAAAACAAGCATCTGCTGCAGTAAATCAATTGCCAAAGGATGGGCATTTGGATAAAGATGGGAAAGGGGGGTTCCATGAGAATATGGGAGTGATTTGATGTATTTCCTGGCTTTGGGGTTATCTATAAATTGAAGATCCTCCTCCTTCTGGCTGCCAAGGACGTTGATGATCAGCTTAAGTTGGTTGAGACACTCTGTACCAGGGAAGATGGGTTTTCGGCCAAGAAGTTCTGCAAAGATGCATCCGACAGACCACACATCAATGGATGTTCCATAGTTGTCACAGCAGAGGAGAAGCTCAGGGGCCCTGTACCAGCGAGTGACAACATACTCTGTCATGAATTGACCTTTGGCATTGCTAGTGCGTGCCAGTCCAAAGTCACAAATTTTAAGGTCACAATTTGCATTTATAAGAAGGTTTCCAGGCTTCAGGTCACGGTGTAAAATATTTGCTGAGTGAAGATACTTCAGGCCTCGAAGCAACTGCAAGAAGAAGAATGAATTACTACACAACAAGTACAGAATTTTGTAATATTTGATCATTTCCTGGTCACAATAGAAGCTTTAATGCAGAACTCCAGAACCCCAATCCCACATAATTATCTCAACTGAATTACTATATTACGGTGGAAGTCTCTTTATGTCCAAATGACTCTGAGAAAGTGGCAGTCAGGCAGATGCAGAACTTGGAAATATGTTTCCTAACGAAATCATTTTGAATAATAGGCCACCATTGATTCATAAAAGATTGTTGATGCATAATCATACTGGAACTATTAGTGAGGAAAGTAAAAGCTAGAATCTCCAAAACATGTTTCTCCCAAAACCTATCATGAACTAGCTCCCATCATATCTGTCCCCAAATGTTGCCAAGTCATGTTAAAACACTGGAGATCAATTAGCAGAAACAATCACCTTTTCCATCAAGAATTCAATATGGTGCTAAGGATTAATATAACAATTGGACAATGGCCCTAGTTGGTGATTGGAAAATTGCAAGAATAGAAAGCACATAAAACATCTAAATAAAAAGTTATATACTAGCATAACATAAATCAACAAGTGATATGCTTTTAGAAATACAAAAATCCACTACATAGCATCCAGGTTGTGAATACACGAATTCAAAATTTCAGCATTTAGTTTCTCTTCTTTGTCCAAAACTTCATTTAAGTGAATTGTAACGAAGTTTCAAGTAAGGCTGATATCAGTGAATGTTCTGTTATACATCCACAACACACTCTCTAGGTTTAAAACACTTGCATCCGAAATTGGAACCCCTTTAGTTCCTTGCTCCTATTGATAAACTTCTTTCAAGTGAAATGTAATGCAAGTATGCAACAAAGTAAGAGCAGTTATCCAATATTAGCCTAATATAATGCCTTGGCAGAGGAATCGGTAGATACCTGAAAGAGGAAATATTGACAGTGATCATTTGTAAGCGCTTGAGAAGACTTAATAATTTGATGCAAATCCGTATCCATAAGTTCGTAAACTAGATAAACATCCTTAAAGCTTCTCCTGTGAATCGGCATCATCACATCTTTCAAAGCAATCACATTTTCATGTCTAAGATGTCTGAGAAGCTTCAATTCACGCAAAGTTCTCAGTGCATCGACGCGATTCTCAAAGGCATTGTTTATCTTTTTAATGGCAACTTTCTCATTGGTTTCGCGATTCACAGAAGAGCAAACGATACCGTATGCACCTCTTCCGATAGGCTTGATCGGCACATATTTGGTGTCGATTTCGAACAATGTTTGCCACATGGAAAAGTAATGTTTGCCTTGGTAATGAACACCATTTGGAGGTTCAACTGGAGTTGCCATTTCCTTCTTTTACCAAAAGTTTGAAAAAAAAAAAGAGAAAAATTTACTGAATAACGAGATTCTATTATAAACAAAACTGTGCTGAATAAGGAAAAGAAAAAGATTCTATTATGGTTTGACTTCTTTTTAATAAAGTAAATTAAAAATTAATAAAAAAAATGAAATAAGGCGAAGAACTAAAGATACATAAAGAGATCTTTTACCTGTTCTGAAAATTTTATCAGAGATTCTTCTTTTTCCCCAAAGAACTGAACTTCGAAATATCCCGTGATACCGTTGGCTAAGCAACGTCCGAATTCATTTCAAATTTCTCAGAAACAATTGGGTAAAAACTTTGAATTAAAGCTCTATTTTCTTCAATGAAAACCCTAATTGAAAGGACGTCGTAGCTGAGCTTGAGCAAGGCCAGGCCGATCTCGATTTTGCAACATGAAGCTCGACAATGAAACTTTCACGGTCCGCAAATTTTCGGAGAAAAAAGAAAAACTTCGATTGTAATGTGATTTTTTTCGTCAACGATGAGGTTGGATGGGATCTATCCAGATAGGAAGATTCGTTATGTCGTCACCATCAGAACAACGACGAAACCAAACAAATTATTAGGATTTTATTTTATTTTAAATTTCATTTTTATTATAATTAATTATATTTTGGTTTTAAAGGCATTTACCGAGCACCGGATCTCGCTCCTGTAACGAAAGCTAGTGGATTGCGGATATTTTCCCATTCACGTAGGGGCCCGCCGAAGCAGTGACAAAGCAGGCGATCTTTTATTAGATTACGAAGGAAACTGGGCGTACGGCGTCGTCCCGGTTGAAGTGGAAAACAACGTCAAAACGACGTTTATTTTTCTGGTTGTGGATAAACGAAGGATATTCTTTGGGAAGCCTGTGGCCCGAAATGGACGTTTGTCAAAATTATTTGGTGAAAGCAGCGAATTTAGGCGTTCCTAGTCGTTTAGTTTGACCAACAAGTAATGATACATAAAATAAGGATTTGGTCAGTAGCCATTATAGGATTAGAAGTTAATTATATGCTTTTTGATCAAATAAATCTAGATCATTTATATAATTTTATCTTATTTATTTTATATTAAATATAATTTTGTCATTTGGAAAAAAAATAAAGGATTGCGGTGAGCGTGGATCGAACACGCGACCTTCAGATCTTCAGTCTGACGCTCTCCCAACTGAGCTATCCCCGCTTCGATAAGGCAACTCAGTTAAATATTTTCTTAGATAAATAAATCCTTTTTTTTTTTTTAATCGGTCAAACCACAATCCTGAAGCCAAGTCTCCGTTCATTCAATTACGAATTGAAAACCTTTTCCACTCTATCGGCTTCGAAAAACTAAACCGGAGTTGAAAGAAAATCACCATTACCATTTACCAGTGAACGGTGATCGGACCAAGGTTTCGCTTATATGGCCATGATTTCGCAGCTCTTTGTGCTTTCTCAAAGAGGCGACAACATCGTCTTCCGTGATTGTCAGTTCGTTCATCTCTGTTAACTTTTTATCCATTTTAATTTTAAAATTTTCCAATTTTATTATCTGCTTCTTGCATGTTTTAATTGAAGCTTCGTTTGAATTTAAAATTAAGACGAACATGGAAACGACAAAAGGAAAAGCAGCCAAGCTGATTTCTCTAATAATCGTAGCATAAAATTTAATTGTTTTTGTTTAATTTTTATTTAATTTTTTAATGCGACACAGATCGTGGCGAAGTACAGAAAGGCAGCGCGGAGATATTTTTTCGCAAAGTAAAGTTCTGGAAAGATGATGGAGACGGCGATGCTCCTCCTGCATTTGTAGGTATTTTCGTAATATAATCGTCATCCTACTACAATTATTTTTCCTGAATTAATTGCTATTTTTTAAAATTTCTTGTATTTCTCTCTGATAATTCATCAAAAAGAAAGTGAGGAAAATTTTTTTAAAAAAATTTGCTTAAAGAGTAACAATTAACAACCAAACAGGGCTTAAATTGTTAAACATTATGCATCCTAGACTTTGATTTTTCTGTTTGCAATTTGTTCTTATGTGTTTTTTTCGTGTTGAATTTTCATGTTGAATTAGAATGTGGATGGTGTAAACTACTTTCACGTGAGGGTTTCTGGATTATTGTTTGTTGCAACAACAAGAGTTAATGTGTCACCATCTCTTGTGTTGGAACTTTTACAAAGAATTGCACGCGTCATCAAAGATTACCTTGGTGTTCTCAATGAAGATTCATTGCGAAAGAATTTTGTGCTCGTGTATGAACTGCTGGATGAAGTCATTGTAAGTATGCGAATTGGGTCTCTCTATCCTTACTTTATGAATTTAGCATAGAAGTATATGCTGCTATTGGATTGTTTATCTGCATGCACATCAGCTGTTCCTTCTATCTATTTTATGGGGTTAATGTTTGGAGAAATTGGCAAGTTAAATGTGTTGGATCAATCTCTATAATGCCATCTTCAAAAACGTGCTTACTTGTCCACCTGTTGTTAGTGAGTTTGAAAGTTTTCCTAGTTTTAAGGATCTTTTCTCCCTTAATGGGGCTTATTCTAGTGGAGTAAGTTATTGATCCAAACATGGAAAGAATGTTTCTGAAAATGTTTCTTCTTAGAAAGGTCTTTTTTTCCTGCCAAAATAGTGAGAAGGAAGGGGGAGGTGGTTGGTGTAGTAATATTTTCATTAAACTACAAAGAGAACAAGCATGATGCTTAGTTTTACAGGGTATCAAGAAAATATTTTCTATGTACTTTTGTTTGATTTTCTGCATAATACACAAGTGATCCTTAAAATTTCATGCAGGATTTTGGTTATGTGCAAACAACATCTACTGAGGTTTTGAAATCATATGTATTTAATGAGCCAATTTTGGTTGATGTGGCCCATGTGCCAAGCCTTGGGCCAGCGGCTATCTTTATGGTAAAAATTACTATCACAAATCACATAATAGTGTTATTTTTATTGATTTTCAGCTTAAATCGGTTATTGATTTTCTATTTTCAGCAAGGGAACAAAAGAATGCCAGGAACAGCTATTACAAAATCAGTTATAGCAAATGAACCTGGCGGTAGGAGGAGGGAGGAAATTTTTGTGGATGTAATTGAGAAAATAAGTGTTACTTTCAGTGCTAGCGTGAGTACTTTCATTCATTTGCCTCAATATCAATATTGCCTATTTGTGGTCTGTCATAACTGGAGTCGTTTTGTTGCAGAAATAAACTGAAACATTAGAGTGCAGTTTTAATGATCTTAGTTAGACTGATGTAAGTTTAACTGATTTTCATAGGAGGACCTGCATTTTCCTGGCATGGTTGATATAGTGCAAGAAACATAACAAATTTGCTCCTAAGTTTACAGAGTTTCATAGGGGCCTTTTTCCCTTCTCATAGTTCTTCTTAATAATTTCAAATGGTTTGATTACTTGTTCTCATTTTTTTTTCTAGCGACCATTTGTTTTATTAGCCTCATATTCCTATTTCTTCCCTTTTCTCCTATCATATTTGTATTTAACTTTATTCCTTATTTTGTTTAATTAATACTTGGTTTCACAGGGTTATATACTTACTTTTGAGATTGATGGCACCATTCAAATGAAGAGTTACCTTACAGGCAATCCAGAAATTCGGCTTGCTCTGAACGACGACCTTAATATTGGAAGACGTGGAAGGTCTATCTATGGTATTTCTCTACTCCAATATTTTAGGACTTATTTTTTTTTTTCAGGTTCAGTCATATGATACATTCTGGCTTCTATGTTTTTGCTTAAATGGACAAACTATATGATAAATTTATCAAAAAGGCTAAAACCGCATGAGCCTTACTTCTTCATGATTTTAGAACTTGTGTCGCTAAGAAGATTTCATCTTTCATCTGCCTAGAAACTGAATTTAAATCTTTATCATGTCATCCAGTATGATTGACAAGTATGGTCTGCAGTTTCTTTCCTTCAGCATAATGTTTTCACCAAATTGTGCCAACTTGTTATTTCTATGTTGCGTAATGTTATTTTGCTGCTCTTTGCGACAGATTATAGTAGTTCATATGGATCAGGTGCTGTGATTCTTGATGACTGTAATTTCCATGAATCAGTACATCTCGATAGTTTTGACATTGACAGGACCCTAACTCTGGTGAGTATGTTCCTTTACAAATCCATAGCTTGTTTTACATTTTATCCTAGACTAAACCCTTTCCAACCACATTCTCACAGGTACCATCAGATGGTGAATTTTCTGTCATGAGCTACCGAATGACTCAGGAATTCAAACCTCCTTTTCGCATTAATGCATTGCTTGAAGCAGCAGGATCACTTAAGGTGAGTTAAAAGCTGCCCCTATATCTGAGATTTAAATTTCTAGGTTTTTTTCCTCTGTTGGATTTAAACTTCCGATCTGTGTTATATCTTGTGTGCTTTCTCGCAGGCTGAAGTGATACTGAAAATACGTGCTGACTTCTCCCCAAGTGTTACTGCAAACAGTATTCTAGTACAGATGCCAGTGCCAATATATACAACTAGGTATTTCTGTTTACTATAGGTTACATTCTCTCAAGGGTGAATGGACAGAATCTAATGCTTGCTTTTCTGCCCAAGCACTGCAACAAAGTTCTCAACAGTTTCTTTCACCACTACATTTTATTTTCAATTGCTCAAGTAGACTTGAGAATACTAAATTTATAGAAGCACCTCCGCATTTATGATCATAAATAAGTGAGCAATCTATGACAGGACAAAGTGATGCATAAACCTTGCACTGACTCTGGTAGTAAAACTTCTTAATTGCTAATGGGGCATCACTCTTATGAGTCATTTTATAAGATGGAAGAGAAGAGGCTATGGGTGGGTTACAGAAAGGTCAAAGTATGTTGTATTGTTTGGAAAGGGGGTAGTTATGGAGAAGCCAGACTTCCATCAATATTACTATTTGATTTTTTTTCAAACAAATTAAATTTTAGGGTTAGCTTTGAGTTGGAGCCTGGGACAGTCGGAAACACAACTGATTTTAAGGAATCAAGCAAGAGACTTGAATGGGGTTTAAAGAAGGTAAGGAATACTTTTTCTTTTTGGGTGTCCCAAAGGATAGTTAAATTGATGTTTATGCATTTGCTCAGCCTTTCTTTTAAAAACCTCTCTTTTCCTTTCCTTTTCTAGCTTCAATCTAAACATAGTGTTATATTGAGTCATCAGTCTTGTAATATGTTGCAGATTGTTGGTGGGTCTGAACATACTCTCCGTGCAAAATTGACATTTGCACAAGAACCACATGGTTAGATAATTTCATTTAATTTGTTATTTTCAACTTGGCTTTTTATCTCATAATAATCAGTGCCATGGGTTACTTGGTACAGGGAATATCGCCAAGGAAGCTGGACCAGTAAGCATGACTTTCACGATCCCAATGTTCAATGCATCGGGACTTAAGGTTAGAACCACGTCTTGGTTGTTTGCATGAATCAAATTAAGTCGATATACCTATTGATATAGGTATTGATGATGTCACCTACAGCATATAATATCTGAAACCACAGCATAAAGAAATCTAATGATGGCTGTTGGATTCGAATATAAATTTCTTCATTTATATGTTATGATTTTAATGATTTTAATTTTCAAACTGACTATCTCTATTTAATTTCTGGCTCAGGTTAAGTACTTACAGATAGCAAAGAAGTCGAACACCTATAATCCATATCGATGGGTGAGATACGTCACACAAGCAAATTCATATGTTGCTCGACTATGATAACTTGCCCTTGGAGTTTTTCCTTTTCAGTTCCTTTTTTAAATGACTCATACACCTTAAACGACTTCAAATGGCTGGAATAAAAGAAAAATAAAAAAAAATGTTGATGTGCCTTAATTGAAGCAAAGCAGTCGTTGGTGCAATTGAGTCTCCATTCACCGTGCTTTTGGGTTTTGGAATCAGCATCGTAGTCATGTCCTTTCTAGGGTGGGAATATTGGGTTTGGAGATTGCTTTGTCTCCAAAGGAGCAGTTCATGAACATGATACTGATACGATTAGGCAAAATGCAATGTCCATCATCCAAAAGTGGCCTAAGCAATGTTGTTAGAATGACACAACTGCTGGCAAATTGATTGTCAATCGATTTGGTTGTCGGAAAACTCGAACAAAAACTGTAAAATTTTCACTATTTGTGGAAAATCTCCCAAGAACCATAGCATATATTTTGGAACTAGATTCTCCTTTACCCCAAATTTCAAATTAGCGTTGAAGAGAAAGTTGAATGGTCTAATCTTTCGCTCATCCTTGGAATGGTGAACAAAGTTGCCAGCCGAAAGTGGATTCCAAAGGATATAACTAAATCTAAAGATCCACGTTTGCTTTTAAAAATTGGTTATTGTGGATATTACCATATGTTTACAATTCCCAATTCTTTTGACTACCGTGAGTCGACAATGGGAATCGCTTTCAATCATTTCAAATAACTAAACTTTGTTGAAGCTGGAAACGAAACAAAGCTTTATTAGTTGTTGAAAGTAGAATATAAAACTAAACGTGTCAAGTAGCATAAAAGAATGGTGAATCTTTTAGTAAGTTGAACCTCAAAGCCAAGTTTGGAAAGAAGAATATGAAACTAAAAGTTTGATGGGATTAGTATTCGTAAGCATAATTAAAGGTATGCTTGATAAAAGAAGTCGGTTTCTTTAGTTGTCAAATGGTTTTCTTTTTCTCTTTTTTAACTAATGATATTAACATTTCATTAAATGACTCAAACCCTAGTCTTTTTTTCTTCTAAAAAAAAAAAAGGTGGATTCATTACTAAATAACAAGTCTGGAAAAAGAATACCAATAATATCATTGAACATAAGAGTCTTCATTCTATAAGGGAATCATAATTTCATGGAAGCTTATTGGTCGTTGACTTGCATCCAAAGCCATCTAATCCATACGTAAATTTGTTTCATGATGCATAAAAAATTTCTTTTTTAAATGAGTAATATCTATAATCTGATCCCATTTAAAAAAAAAAATTACCAATGGGATTATTATTATTATTATTATTATTATTATTGATAAATTTACAATTATAACTAAATAGTTTTAATATACATTAAGAAACAAATTTAACTCAAACAGATGCCAATCCAGGGCATTCACGCTGAACAGATTCCTAGAGGTTATGAGTTTGATAGGAGTTAACCGCGTGATATTTTTTTCAGAGTAAAGAAAGACTGAGGCTCATGAATAGACTAGAAATGGGTTGATGTTGTAAATAGATTCTAAATTATGGTAAAATGTTAGATATAGTACTTAAATTTTAAAAATTTTTAATTTAATACCTGAATTATAAATTTTATTAATTAATACAGTATGAAAATTTATTTATTCATCATATATCATTATTTTAAATTAATCATGTTAAGAATGAATATTATATTAATTAATTAATTTATAATTCATTTATTATAATAACAAATTTTTAAAATTTATGTACCATATTAAATTTTTCTTTATAATTTAAGAGACATTTATTATATTAACTCATTAGAAATTAAAAAAAAAACACACATAATTAGATACATATACATTTAAAAACAAGAAAAAATCAGTAAACAAATTGAACTCTTATGGATTTGAGCTAGTCAACTTAAAGATTCTGAGATCTTAACATTAAGGCAAAGGTCGAATTGATATTGGTTTAGAGAGTTGAAAGCAAGTTTTTTTTGTTTCTTGATGCAGAAATTATCTCTTCTCTTGGTTAACCAACAATTATCCGTTTTTTTTTTTTTTCTTAAATTACAAATAAATCCAATAGAAACAAGAAAAGGCAAACCAATTTCAGTAAAACTCTAGATATACACACACAGCACATGAAATCCATCAAAGGCCACTCCGGCAGCTGATGATGCAGTTTCCCAACACCCAAACAGGAAACACAGTCCCTTCAATTGTCTTATATGCCAAATCCAAACCCCCTTCAATATGTTTCGTCAATTCCTTCATTTGGATTTTTCACCCTCTTTTTGTTCTTTCTTGTGGCAGATACGCTGTTTTTCTGCTTCCAAACAAACCCACACCATAAAAAAACCCATCAAAACTAACAAAAATAGACAACTTTCATCATTCATTTAAAATTTAAATGTGCAGCAGCTAGCATGGTGCCAATTCCCATGGTTTTGAATAGAAACAGGAGGGAAGAAGGGAAACCATGAAAATGGCCCTTAACTATGATGAGCAGCATTTGAGTTTCCCTTTTTAGATTACAGCATATCTACAACTTTTGACTTATAAATCAAACAATATCTTTTAAGACTATCCAAAAAAAATATATATATACTTTGAAAGAGTTTAGTTGCTTTGGTGGTAATTGTAAGGGTGTAAGTGAATAAAACTTTTGATGAATCATTCATGAATATATTTGGTTTCTGTTCATTTATATTCGTTTACTAAATTTAATAAATGATCTTGAATATTATTTGTACGTTTATTTATTAAATAGATTGAACATGAATAGTTATATGTTCATTCATTTATGTTCACGAATAAACTTGTTTACGATTCGTTTAAAATTCATTTGTTTATTATTTATTTACTATACATTTGTTATTCGTTTATAATAATATTAATAAAATTATATTTTTATCATTTATTCTAATCATATTTTAAGATTCATTTATATTTGTTTAAGTTCATTTATGTTCGTTTAAAATTTATTTGTTTAAATTTATTTGGTTTTAATTTATTTATTGTTCATTTATATATATTCGTAAATATATTCATTTAATGTTTATGAATAAATTCGTTTAACTTAATTAAACGAATACGAATTAAATATGAATAATTTATTATTTAAACAAATAAATATGAGCAAATAAAATAATTTTTTATCAAACATGAATCAAATACAAATATCTTTAAAAATAAATAAATAAATATAAACATACATCTATTCATTTATATTTAATTTATTTACAATCCTAAGTAATCGAGGGGATACAAATAAGAGGTTGCGCAGAGCCAGAGAGGATTGAGTCCATGTTTTGCCAGATCGTTGAAAGACCCGAAAAAATAGTACATAGCCCAGAATTTGAGCCAGGAATCAAGATTCTATTCCACCACGAACGATACCTAAAAATTTAAATATATATATATATACTGATGTACTGTACTTAAAAACCGGTTTTGGCATGTCACTGAAAAATGCTTTAGCAGAAGTGGGTAAATCAAAAGGGAAATTAAAGATGAGCTCATTATAAGCACACATATGTGACCTCTCATCTTAGCCTCTCCTCTACCACCCCACTCTCCGCCCCTCCCCTAAAGGAATCTGATCGTACTATCACCATATCAAACAGTAGATCTTCACCTGTCCCACTGTTTTTTTTTTTTTTTTTTCTCTCATAGTCTACAAAGTTCAAAGCTCTTCTCTTCATCCTTTGTCTTTCAATCAACTCCTTCTGACTTCTTTGTCTCTCTGTCTCTTCCCTTCTCCGCTTCTTTCTCAACTGTTTCAAGAACAAAAAGGTGGTTTAAACATGTTGAAATCAGCAGAACTCCCAGAATGTTTTTACCAAAACAAGCCAACCTTAATCAGTCCGAACACCCCAACCCCAAAGCATTCCTTGTATCTCTCCAACCTTGATGATCAAAAGTTCCTTAGATTCTCCATTAAATATCTCTACCTTTTCAAGAAATCTGTTAGCCTAGATATCTTGAAACATTCTCTCTCCAAAGTTCTTGTATATTACTACCCATTAGCTGGGAGGTTAAGGACATGCAGCCTTGACGATCAGAAGCTGGAGATTGATTGCAATGGTGAAGGAGCTGTCTTTGCTGAAGCTTTCATGGAGATCACTTGCGATGAGTTTCTTGAGGTTTCCTGGAAACCAAACACGTCTTGGAGGAAGCTCCTTTACAGGGTTGAAGCTCACTCTTTCCTTGATATACCTCCTCTTGTAGTTCAGGTCGGCTTTCATTTAACTAATAAATCTTCCCTGTACTTAGCTTTTGATAATTATTTAATTCTTGGTTCCATCAATTTGTTCCTTTCCATCCCAGATAAAAAAATTTTTCTTTTTTGAGTTGAGATTCCCAACTTAGTTTAATGCTCCAAAATCATTGAGTTTACTAATTATAGATAAATAATAAGTACAGTTCTTCAATGTCATCTTTCTCCTTGGTACAAATGCCTACTGCACCAACGTTTTTACTATGAGTAGTAAAAAATTCATTTTTCTTTAAATAAGATTTTGATCGGAAATTTTGTATATAAAAAAGAATAAATTTAAAAAAATTTATCTTTTTATATAATTCAATTCGATTTAATTTTAAATTAATCGAAATAAAAAAATTACCGCACCAAATATTTCAAACAAAATAATAATAATAATGCCTACTACTATATTTCTTTGATAATGCAACCATCAAGCAAATTCTTGAGTACAATGCAATGGGAAATGACATCACTCTGTTCATCTGATGACTGGTGTCATTCAACCATTACATTGCCAGACGACACCGTTTTCCCTTGCTTTTGTAAAAATTTGTTCATGTTATTTTCAAAGAAAATGACCTTTCTCCTCGCAAATGTTGCTTCTCTCTTCTTTTGTTCCTTTCACCAGTTGCCAGTTGGAGAGCTTTTTTTTTTTTCATCCTTTCTCCTTCTTCTTTTATTAAATTAGGACATTTTCGATTTTTTTTATGTCTTTTGAGTTATTGTTAAAATCAGAGATATTTAATTCTGAAATTGATTTTAATATTATAGCTATCAATTCAATTATGATATTTTTAAATTTTGTTTGAATTTAATTTCTTATGAGTGATATCCTAAGAATATATTTTTTATATTGATTTAATAGAGAAATTACTCTTTAAAAAATTAGTCAAATATGAAATTATGCGTAAAATTGAGTACTTTATCTTAAATTTTTATTTTTTTTACCTTTGAATTTAATTTAATTTTTTATTTTTGGTGCAGGTAACGAATCTTCGCTGTGGAGGTATGATCCTCTGCACCGCTATTAATCATTGTATATGTGACGGCATTGGCACATCCCAGTTCCTGCACGCTTGGTCCCACTTGGTCACTAGCCCAGCACTTGATCTTCCCATTTTACCCATCCACTCCCGGCACGTGTTGAAACCCCGAGATCCTCCTCAAGTTACCCATACCCACCTCGGATATACCAGAAATAACCTCAAAGACTGCAATGGCCACGTGGACATCAGCCAGTATTTACAGTCCCAGCAACTGGTGCCAACATCCTTAACCTTCACCACCTCCCACGTCCTTCGGCTCAAACGACAGTGCGTTCCATCCCTCAAATGCACCACCTTCGAGGCACTGGCCTCGCACACGTGGCGCTCGTGGGTTCGATTCTTGGGCATGTCCCCTTCACTTAACGTCAAGCTCCTGTTTTCCGTCAACGTTAGGAAAAAATTAAATCCGGAAATGCCGCAGGGCTATTACGGGAATGGATTTGTTCTCGCTTGCGCTGAGAGCGCGGTAAAAGATTTAGTCACCGCGAATTTACACCACGCGGTAAACTTAATCCAGCAAGCCAAATCGAGTTTAACCGATGGTCATGTGAGGTCAATGATTGATTTGTTGGAGGACAAAAATGTCAAAACGGATACTTCTTTGAGCTTGGTAATTTCTCAATGGGCTAGGTTGGGGTTAGAGGATTTAGATTTCGGGGAAGGGAAGCCTTTGCATATGGGCCCTTTGACAAGTGATATTTACTGCTTGTTTTTACCGGTGGTAGGTAATTTTGATGCGGTAAGAGTGCAAGTTTCAGTGCCAGAGTGTATGGTTGAAAAGTTTGAGTATTACATGAAGGAGGGTCTTGATACAGAAGAAAATGGAGATATAAATGGGTTTCATAATGGAGAACAAAATGGGTTAATTTGAAGAAGCTGCTTCAAAGTTTTTTTTTTTTTTTTTTTACTTTCTCTGGTAATAATGAGAGAAATTACTGTAATTTCAGTATCTTAAGGTGAATATCTGACTGCTTTTTTATTATTATTTTGGAAAAGTATTTAAATATGATTTTATGTTTTATTATAACTTTATAAATCTTAATCATACGATATTTATGATGAGTAAGAAGACTGCTAATTAATTTTCTTGTATACATGCGGATTTTCATTATAAATTTAGGCCAAAATGTCAAATACGTTGAATTCATTGATAAGAAAATATGAGATTGTGCCAAATTAAGAGACATAAAAATCTCAAAAAAGTCATATAAATCCAACAGAGTTGTCATCATCGTTTAGAAAATTCAAAATCATATATATATATATATATATATATTACCTTAATTAATTAAAATTAAATTCACTGTGGTTCCATTTGAAATGAACTGAGCTATTATTTCGTATAATTTCCACCAATGAAAAATGGATAGATGGCCCACCCCACTTTACTTTATGACATTTTTTATAATATTTAATTTCATCATTATAATGATTAATTTTATTCTGATCATAATTTTTAATCTCATTATTTATTTAAATAGATTTTAAGAAGTTAAAATTATTATATCTTAAAAAAATTAAATTGAATTTGATTCTCTAATCGGGTTTTGCTAACTAGTGTCTGAAAAAAATTTTACATTTGATTAATATTATCTATAGAAATATTTTTGTATCAAATGTAGTTGATAATTAATATGATAAATTGATTTAAGGTTTTTTTTTTTTTGGCAAGATAAATTTTAGAGTAGATAAATTATTTAATCATTCAGATTAATGTAAAATATGTCGAATCTGATAATTTAAAATAGATGATTGTAAATTATACATTCGAGATAATCACAAACGATCAATTACAGGATTTAAATCCAAAAATTTTTCATCGAAAAAGAAGAATCTCAATTAATTAAATCAATCACTTGTCGATAATCGATTTAAGGTATTGAAACTTTAAATAAAATATTACTACTACTACTTAATATATAATCTATAATATTACAAACTTTCTTATCGAGTTTGATATTGTTTGACATTGTAAGTAAAGTGAAATTAATATATTAAAAATAATAATAATAAATTAAATAAAATTAAGAATGCATATGTATTCTCACTTTAAAAATTAAAAAATATATTTTTTTTTTCATCCATATAGTGGTTTTGCCAATTCTAATTTTAAAGAATACCCTAAAAAAAAAATATTTTGGATGCATCAAGCTGGGGCACATAGGCTCCTCTACTTAGCATATTCATTAAGAAAATCCACTATTATTATTAATAATGGAAGCAGATGGGATAGCATATTTTGGAGAGATGCTAGTAATTAATAGTAGGACCGACATTAATTAGGTATATCGATTGGAATGAGCATCCAAGAGAATAAATTTCCTTTATTGAAAAGCAAATCATGATCGTCGTCATTCAAGAATTTCAAAGGAAAACGGAGGGGATTTTACTGTTGTCCGACCCGACTTGGCTCTCTCATGACTCACATGCTCAGTTTTTAAATGCCATTTTTGTCATCAACCCAATAACAAAAACCATTAATTAACCCCTTTTCATTACAGCTAAGCAATGAAATTTGATCTACATATGCTTTGACTGGAATTATTTTTCAGTTTATAAGCACTTGGATATACATTCCACAATATTTTTTGAATAAGGTAAGTCATAATTTTAAAATAAAAAATATATATTTTAAAACGTAATTAACTGAATTAAAATTTAAATTTTTATCGCAACTTTGCTTGATTTTGAAATTTGAATTGTTAAATACTAATCAAATAATTAAGTGGAAATTATGGCGTAAAAAAAAAAGAAAATTGCTATATAATGTGATGGACGGTTTTTTAAATTCAAAATTTAACTCATTTAATCTATTAAATTATTTTAAAAAATAATATTTAATAAAATATTTATATATTTTTTATCTTTATACTAATATCTCTTTTATAAAAATTAAAAAAATCAATAATTCGTTACTATAGGACAAGGCCAATAAGATAAGGGTGGGTTTTCTAATGATTTTCATAAACGATGAACTTGCTTATGATTTGTTAAAGAGGGCTAAAGTTAGAACAATTAGACAATATAATTATTGTTTGGGTTAGTGATTCTTATCTTATAATTTTTTTTTATTTTCAAATAAAAAGAAAATGATTTCATTTTTTTTAAGTAAAAATTATGCACTAAATGCTCGAGTACATGTCAAATACGTATTATTTTTAATAATATATTTGTTTTTTGTTTGAGTGAAAAAGGCACTTCTTATCTCTAGCTTCTATTTAAATGACAAAGTGGGCATACAGAATGCGGGCAGTAGGAAAAGCCCCAACCAAATGCAAGTGCCAGTTATATTCTTCTCTTTCCTTATTTATTTATTTATTTAACAGGTAATGAGGAAACATAGTGACAAAGCGCAATCACAAATTTTGCTTTTTTTTTTTTTTTCTAATTATAAATATATTTTATAATCATAATAAAATATTACGTAATTGAATAATCAAATGAATAAATTAATCAAAAAATTAAAATATAAATTAATAAATCTAACATAAAATTAAAATAAACTCTTACATAATAAAATTTAAATTTAAAATCTCAAAGTTTTAAATCCTCTTCTTTGTTATTAAGCCAAAATCTCATTGAAAATGTGCTCTTTCTAACATTTTTTTTTTCTTTGTGTAAATGATGGGTGGAGTAATGGTTGTCATCTCCATTTTCATGACTGAGAGAGACGTGCCACATCTTCTTACATTCTGCAAACTTTAATGTTATCATATATATTTTATAAAACAGCCCTCGTTTCAGAGATATGAGATACATGTTGGGATTCGAATCAGATATTTTAAATATATATTTTTTAAAATTAATTGTAAAAGTTAACTAAATTAAGCCCTGGTTTAACGTTATCCTATTATTTACAATAATATTAAATGAACTGAGCAGTGCCAGCATTTAGATAAACCCTATTAACCTTTAAAAAAAGGAAAAGATAAGATTAAAATTTGTTAGTACATAACTCACATCGCCCATATAGCTAAAAATTTTTTGATGAAAATTTTCAAATAAGCAAATCCACTTAATTTTGACTTGTTGTATTATGCAGTATATGGCAGTACTTGACAATTTCTTAAAGACCGGTCAGAAAGTTAGTTCTATCATTAATATAATTTGCACAATTGATGGAGTGTTATTGGTTTAAATGAAAGTGCTTAATTACCTTTAAATGTTAGAGAGTTAAGATTTTATTCCAAAAATTTTAAAGAATGAATATGAGATTAATTAATTTATTAATAAATTAGAGAATTTTTTTTTTTTTATAATTTAGGCATTTGTTTAAGATAAAAATATAAATGATATATTGATATTCGTAAATTATTCAAATTTGATTCGAATAAAATTTGAATTTGACTCAATTATTATTGAGCTCAAATTCGAGTAACTTAACTTATTGATCGAGCTGAATTCAATGATTCTTATACTCGATTTTAGTAACCCGCGAGTTTAATCAAATTTTTTATACTTAAATATATTTTTATTATTTTAATTAATAAAATATTTCAAACTCGAGCTCGAGTTTAAACATAAATAATCGAGTTTTTATCGAATATAAGAATTGAACATATTTTTATATATTAATCAAGTCTAATCGAGTGAGTTTAGCTCGATTTTTATCTCGAATTGAGCTCGAGCTATAAATATAAAATTCGATCGAGTTCGAATTGAGTTTCAAATTTCAAATTTCAAATTTTGAATCGAACTCAAATTTAATATTATATTAATTCAAACTCAATTAATTACACAACTAATTTAAGATAAAAAAAAATAATAAGATAAGATCAATTGACAAGATAAATTTTTGTGCAATTTTAAATTATATTTTATTAATATCCAAATCCGACTCAAAATAAATGTTTCTAATCTGGCTTCAAATTATTGAGATAATCTATATTTCTTTTTTTACCCACTATCATTAGAAAAGTAAATGTGAATTTCCTAGGGACCATGAAAACAAGATAAGAGAGCAAAACATATAAAGTGGAACATTAGGATTCCATTGATGTTGATTAATTAATGTAACTGCAATGTGGCATCGGCCATGCCCATGCGCTATGCCTAATTGCCTAAATTCAACTAACGGTTTCCTATGCCTAATTTAACAAAATTAATCTCTTTAGATTAAATTTGAAGCTTCTAAAATCTCTCTTTTGAAATCGAAATATTTTAATAATTTTAATTTTAATTTTAAAATTTTGAAAATCTTTCCACCAATAAAATTCCTTTTTCATTCAAACCTACCCTAAATTATTTGATTTGATTTACTTCCATTTTGCTTGAGATGACAAATTGATGGTTGAAATGTACAATAATTTTAAACTTACATGAGTCCACTACCCACCCAATTGGATGAATATTCTGTTTCTTTAATTTCAATTTTCTTGAAAGAGACTTGCTTTGCAGTTAAAGACGCTTTTATCCTTTCATTATGGAGTACAATTAAGTATATATTAATTAATAGTAACATACAGTTAGTTTTCTGATTTAAAACCTCTAAGTGGGTTTAGCAGTTAATATTTTTTTAATGTGGTTAACTGTACCATATTATCACTAACTTTGAAATCACATTTCGTTTTGTCTCATACAACTATCCAAAATTTTCATCTCAGTCATTGAACTCTAACTCTGGATCAAGAGTTGAGTTCTGATCTAATAGAATTATGCAAAATTTACATAAGATGGAGTTCATGAAATCCAAACTACTATGATCAAGTGCTTTATGCTTGCATTTTTTTTTAATAAAAAAATTTAAAATAGATAAATTATTTAATTTTTAAAATTAAAATAAAATATATATTGTATCTAATAAATTAAAATAAATAATTATAAATTATATATTTAAAATAATATCAATAAATTATTATTAACGAAATTCGAATTCAAAATTTTTTTTAAAAAAAGATAGTCTTATCCAATTGAACGAAGAAGCTGCGGGTCTTGCATTTTTATACCATGCAGAAAGGAAGAATGGAAACGCGCAAATAATGAAGAAAATAGTCATTTTCTTTAGCATTATCAATCTTGTTGACGTAACCAAGGAAAAAATGTTTGAACAGCCACAGCATCGCGTGAACTGCAGTCAAAATCCCAACATCTCTTTTCTTTTTTCCTTCTTTCTATTTTTTTTTAATATATAAAAATAAAAAATAATAATACTAAAATAATTTATTGGCTCATCCATTGCATCACTTGGGTTGGCCATTACGTATATAATAATAATTATAATTATAATATAATTATAATTATTATTATTGTTGTTGTTGATGTGAATGTAAAAGCCCTTTATGCAAGAAAGAGTAATTGAGAATAATGGCGTGAAAAGATTTTTAAATTTAAATTAGTTCATAAAATTATTTTTATTTTTTTAATTACAACCTCATTTACATAAAATAATCGATGAACTTGAAGCTGCCAAAAGATCTAAGAACAGTAAGCTCAAAGAAGCCTCCAAAAGGCCACGACACTTTAGCCCAGTTCTTAGAGTCACTGGATCTAGAATGGGCTCCCTCACTATCAAATAATGGGCCATCAAAAGCATATAGCCCAATTATTATTGAGTCATGGGTTGCTTGTTTACCATTGGGCTTGTGTCCATTTGCAATGTTTTTGGATTTTCGTGAGGGCCGGGTGATGGGTACTACCGCCTTAGCTCTCAGGCCGTTGGAATCTCGAATCAGTAAAAGAGATCCCAACTTAGATACCAACTGCACGCGCTCAGACAAGACGCTTCACGCGCATGCGTAGCTGCCAAGCTACGTTTTCTACTGGAAAACAGAAAAAGACTTGAAAACCGGAGTCAACTCAATTACTCAACTCAAATCAATTTTGCCTGAAAACAAGGAAACAGTTTCATCGATAATTGAAAAATTAGGCTTTTACTGTTAACAGAAACCGCTCCAAAATTCTTTAGATTTCTCGTCAATCTTTCCCCAGGTATTTACTTTTTTCCTTTTTTGAATTTTATTTCGTTGTCTGTTTCTTTTCTTGTTTCCATTTTCTACCAGATTTCTTCTATTGCTTAATTTTATGTGCTTTACGTCAATTTTGAATTGTGTTTATCATGAATCAGGTCACATAAATTAAGAATAATTCGGTTCAGAACTTTAATTTCCTTGAAGGGCTTGATTAATTTCTTTTTAACTTAAAACCCTTTCTTTTTTTAGCCAAATAACCCTTTTTAGTAACAGAGAAAAAAAATGGGCTTTTTAGTTATACTATAGAAATTTACCAACATTTGGACGGTTTAATTTTACTTTGGTTCCTTGATTTAACAGAAAGAGGTGAAATTTATGATAAGACAACCACTAATTGAGCTTTGCTTGTTTAATTTTTATTGTAATGATGGCAAAACTGCTGCACATGAATTCGAGATTTGCAGCTGGCATGTGTTTGTCAGAGCTGCCGGATTCATTTACACGCAAGTGGTACTTTAGCAGAGAAGAAATTGAGAACCATTCTCCATCGAGGAAGGACGGGATCGACCTTGGAAGAGAGGAGCAGTTGCGAAAGACGTATTGTTTGTTTATTCAAGAGCTTGGGATGAAGCTTAAAGTGTAAGTGCTGGGACTATGTCCATTTTGAAGTAGTCTACTCTGATTTGGTTAAAAGTTAATCTTTGGCTTTGTGTTTAGTAGGTGTAACAATTGTTTTTTTACTTCATACTCCTTGTACTTGAGATTGAAAAATAATAAACATGCTTGTAGAATACATCTGTTTGCTTTTTGATACACCAATTTAACTCCTCAAATATGGTTTATGTTTTACTATACTACTAGAAATGGTGATTGAAAATTTTACTTGCAGGCCTCAAGTGGCTATAGCATGTGCAATGATGCTGTGCCATCGGTATTACATGCGTCAATCTCACGCAAAGAATGATTGGCAGGTAGATGTTGTATTACTCTGTTTTAATGCTTCTTCATTTTTTCATTCAAAATATAGAACTTTCAGTTTGTGAGTATGGGTGCTAGTATAGAATAGATGCAAATGTAAAGTACTTTGCATGATCAGCAAACATTGTTGGAAACAGAACATTAGTGATTTGATTTTAGTAATGAATGATTATGCACATAATACTATTACGTATTATTGTTTATTTTCTAATATTTGTTAGTTTTTTTGTCTGATAATTGTCTTATGGAAAACTTAGCTTTTCTTAACATAGAGAAAGTGAAGCTGAGATGTTTTTAAATATTAAATTGTTCAAATCTAGCTGTCTTGAATTTCTCAATTCTGAACATGTTGGTGAACTGTGCAGACTATTGCAACTGTAAGCACATTTCTTGCCGGCAAAATAGAGGAAACACCATGCTTGCTGCGGGATGTTATTGTTGTGGGCTATGAAATTATCTATAAACGGGATCCTTCTGCTCCAGGAAGAATCAGAAAGAGAGTATGTTAATTTGCTTTTCTCAGCACAACTCCATGTTTTCTCATAATCATACTATCCTAATTTTTTTCTCACTTTTTTCTATGCAGGAAGTTTATGATAAGCAGAAGGAATTGGTCTTGATTGGGGAGAGGCTTTTGTTGGCAACAATTGCTTTTGATCTTGATATCCAACTCCCTTACAAGCCCCTTGTTGCAGCTGTGAAGAGATTGGAAATTTTTCCTAACCTCTTAAAAGTAGCTTGGAATTTCGTGAATGATTGGTGAGGATTTGTTCATTCTAATGAAAAGTACTCATATTTATGCTATTTTTATGTAAATTTTAGATCATTTCCTTGTGTCTTTATGATATTAAATAGTTTCATGAATGGAACTAGCAGGCTTCGTACAACCTTGTGCTTGCAATACAAACCCCATTACATTGCAGCTGGTTCCTTGTGTCTTGCTGCTAAATTCCAAAAAGTAAAGCTGCCAATGGAGAAGGGGAAAGTATGGTGGTTGGAATTTGATATTTCACCTAAACAATTACAAGGTTTGTAATACAGATATCTTTCTGCCTATTTATATGTATCTGCTTTAATTCTTACTCATGGTCATTATATTGTTAATGAACAGGAAATATGCAAAAATTAAACACGTGGGTGAGGTTCTAATTTATTCCCCACACTTTGAAAAAGTGGTAGACATGGATCATGCAGAACTTCCTTGTTTCAAATCACCTTCGTTAACCTTAACAGATGCTTTTCTTCTTATGGAATAAATATAAATGACTCAAGCTTTTTGCAACGTTTCTCTGAAATATCATGCATGGTAGTTCTTAACTCTCCTTTTTTTTTTTTTAAACTGGGGATGGCTATCTTTCATTGCTTTTGTGTGTGCTTAACTATTGTAGTTCAATTGAAAACTCTACTGCAAAATTTTTCAGAGGTCACTCAGCAGATGGTCAGGTTGTTAGAGCAAGACAAAAAACGAACTTTATCATCAAGACACGAGGGGGCCAGTCATTCCATTGCTTTAGCTGGAAAGGCATTGATCAGTGGCACGCAATCATGCACTTTGAGTGTGTCACTTGCCAAGAGTCAGTCAAGTGCTGAACCTGAGAATAGCAAACTTAGCAAATCTATGAACAGTTGTGTCAGCCAAGTTAGTATGGCACAAGTTTTTCCACAACGTACAAGTGATAGTGGTGGAAGTAGTGTTGTTGAGAATGGCAGTGACAAGGATCAGCCAAGAACAGAGGTGTCTGACCAGAACCCAAGTTTTACAATTGTTTCATCACTGGCCTGTGGCAATAAACAAGTCAGTGCAAAGGAAAGTTTACCATGTCAAACCAGTGATAGTGGTGCAAGTACTGTTGTTGACAATGGTGAAGGCGAGTGTGAGATAAGAACAGAGGAATCTGGCCTGAACCCAAGTGTTAAGATTGTATCTGTTCGAAATACCTTTAGTAAGAGTGATGCTGACAGGATTAGAGAGAACTTGAAGAGGAGGAGATGTGATAGAGCTGCAAATTTGAAGTATGTGGAAGGCAGAGATGATGAGGTAGACAGTGAAGCCTGGATAGAGAGAGAGCTGGAGACCGGAATAGAGCTGGAATCTGCCTTTTCCCAGAAGCGAAGGAGGGCATTTTGAGGTTTTGAACATGGGAGTAGTGCCTTGATACTCACTAACTAGACATCTTTTTACTTAGTGCATCAAAGTGACCTTCCATTGGCACATTTATGGCATTACAAGAAAGACTACCTGAATTTTGTTTCGCTCTTAGAATGATTAATTATTTCCAATTTCTGGTACAATAGAATTATTCCAGACATTTTTGCGATAAGTCTTATTCATATTTTAGATCAATGATGCAAGAATCACAGCCATTCTTTTGCGTGGAATTGTAAATGTACAGTTGTTCTACAATTTATTAGAAAAACAACAGAAAAGATTCATTGTTGGTCACTCTTCCTGACTCCATTCCGTGAAAATCCAGCGCAAGTATTACATTTCTTCTTGTTTCATTTTGCTTTTTCATTTTTTACAATGGAAGTAAACACCTGGGTAAGTGTATCAAAACTTGAAAGAAATCTCTCTTTGGCTTTTAATCTCAGCTGCTCCTCTTTCATTACGTACTTGATAGTTATACCAAGTAGCCAGAAAGAGACAAATTTTGTCCCTTTTTCTTTTGGCAATAACATGTCAATTTCATATTCATCCAAAAATATCACTTTTTTGTTGATAATTTTTATTATACACAAAATCTATACAATACAGACATACATGTAGATATATATTTACTTGCACATATACACGCACATGATATACACATGCCTATATATGATAACTTTTACGGCAAAAATCTAATGATTTCGCTTGTTTGAATTGCGTTTATGTTAAGGTTACTTCATTAAATGATAAATGAAAGTGAAAAAAAAGAAGAAAGAATAGTTTTACGTTTAATACAAGTCATTCATAAAGAAGTGATGATCTTTGCTTGTGAAATATATTGATGAGAAAGATTGGTTTCGACTACTTTCTTTTCCCATGCATCTCACATGCCCTTTTCGGCCTTTCCATCGCATTTCTGGATGCGTCTAACTTTTAATCATCTATCAACCAAGGCAATCAGTGAGCCTTTAGTTTTGTTTTTGTTGTGTCTTCCTCTCTTGCCGTACACTTATTCAAAGGCTTTCTTTTTTTTTTTTTTTTCCTTTATCTCTTTCAATTTCTTTATTTCTTTTCGAAGGTCGTATCATATAAAATTGGATAAGAAACGTCTTAAGAACTTTGTTAAATTAAAATCTGCTTAGAAGCAAGATGCAGATCAGAAACATTTAAGTACTTTTCTTTCAAGTGGGAGGTGGAGATGGAGTGGAACCCTCAATTGCCTTGAAAAGCATGCACATAAAGCTCTTCACCCACCAAGTTCTTCCTCCAAAGCTCCGGGCAGCGGCCATGTGGTTATTTCTACAAGTTCTGAAGCCTCATTATCTAGCTTTTTATCCGGGAAAATATGTTTAAAGAAAAAGAATCTGGTCAACACTGTCTGTCTTACATGTTTCCTATATATGATCCTTGAAACAAACCCTTTTTCCTTTTTTGATTATGTAGAGAACACGATCCATCAAAGATTTCATATCGGAAGAACCAAAGATAAAACTTTGATCAAAGTGGTCTGTTCTTAGATGGAAACTGAAAGATGGATAAGCAAAAGTGTTTGAATCATTGGGCTGACTGGCTGAATATATTAACAAAGATAGCAAACGTGTGGCTAATCTGCACCGTTATTGTTGGAAGATCTTGCATTAATTGTACCAAAGCTATTAAAAAAAACCCTATAAATAGATTATAGGAAGATAAAGGAATCAGACAGAACAAGGAAATATTTATATGAATGGGGTTTAGTGGGGGTAATAGAATAGAAAGCACTGGCCCCTTGTGTTGGATTTTCAATGGCGACCTAAGCTTGAGAGAAAGCATATATTCTGCCATGACAAAGTGTTTGTCTTCTTCTTAAGACATACCTTTAAGTCTTACAAAAACTTTAGACCCACTTTTAAGAGCTTTGTAAAATTTTTTTGACTCAAAAAAGTTGCAATATCTATATATACAGTAGGGAAAAGCACAAGCATTAAAAGAGGTTAAACAATTGAAATGGAAAAAGGTAAGGGGAAAAGAGCTTGCATATAATATGTAATAATTTTTTAAAATGATTTTAAGATTGATTTCTTTATAGTAACTTTTTTGACTTAATATGTTAGTTTATTTAGTTAAAAATTTTTGAACAAAGTCTTCAAATATACCAAGATTATGAAGTTTATATAGAAAATTAGGAAGCAAAATTTATGTTTTGAGAACGGCTCATATATACATAAACTTTTGTAATATATATGCATTTATAGATACAGATTTATACATGATAATGGCATATTACAATTAGTGAATCTATCAATCCATATAGTACCAAAAAAAAAAATTATGTGGTAAGATGTTGACCATGTGTGAAGAAAAACAAATTAATGGAAAGATGTAGATGATTGTTAGGTACTTGTCATTAATAATCGAAGTTTTATCAATAATTTTATAATCTGTTAATAAAGTATTGAATTCTTAATTTTAATGATTAAATATTAATAAATCCTATCATCTTTAAATAATAATAATAATAAATTGTTCAAAGCTCTAAGCACTTAATTCGAGAATGATAGAATGGTCATCATGGAATTCATATCAGTTGGGACAAGATAATATTAAGATTATAAATTGAGAATATTCTAGGCAAAGTTCTCTAAATAGACTTCTTTAAAATGTGAATTTGGAGACCAACTTGACTGAATAATAAGGAAATCTAGACTAACATACTTTCCAATCAGTCCATGCACAAAAGAAAAGGAGGCATTTGAACATTGTTAATGCTTTTATTCACTATCATGGCCTACTAATTATATATTATTTCTATCAAGAAAAGAAAAAAAAAGTTGGAATAAATTAATCTAATATTATCTACAAATTTGGATAACTTTACCATCTAAATTGATAAGAGTATATATCTTACTAGAAAGTGGATGTTTGACCCTTTGACTGTGGACTGACTGCTACACTTAAAAAACAAAAGTGATGTAGGCTTTATTTTCTGATGATGATGGACCCATAAAAAGTGATTAACCATAGCAAAAATGCTTTTAGAGGGGCTAATGAGGCTTCTTGTTTGCAACAGGATTCGGAATATTAATGTAACCATAGAAGAAGAATCAGCATTTTCTCTGCTTTTAAATATTTACTATCACTATTTTATTTTCCCATCCCTTGTATTTGATTTTCTAAACTAAGGTTGGAAACTTTCGAAACCCATGAATCTGCTTAATTATTGTAAGATGGAAACTTTGAATCACTTTGCAAAGTGGAAAAGTTTTTAACTGTAGTGTTAAAAGGAATGAGAGTTGATCACTTTTGTATATGTCGCTTTGTTCTTTTAAGTTTTGTTTTATTCTCAATTAGGGGAAAGAGCTCTCTATATGATTCATCCCTCCTTTTCTAAACCTAAATATCCTTCACTAGCAAGTGGCACCCAAGGTTATTTTATTCTCAATAATGACACCTTAGAGTTGAGACTCTGAGGCGATTTTTTTAAGCGATAAAACATTTTTGAATTTTATCTAATATATTCTCTTTTTTATCAGTCTAAGTAAGTTTATCGGATTTAAAAATTCATATAATATAAAAAATTATCTTTTTATAATTTTTGAATAGATTTGAACTTACACAAAAAAAAAAAAAAAATTTCTTTATCATTTTAGTCAACATTATCGATAAAAAATGTAGCAAAATTAACTCAAGGATAAGCAGATAATTTATGAATAATTACTGGCCATCCTATTAATATATAAACAGTGTTTCACCTCCTTTAAAAGATTCCTCATGAAAGTGAGAGTAAAAATTATTCAATACATTTATAGAGAGAGAGAGAGAGAGAGAGAGAGAGAGAGAGACATTATTGTAATTGAAATCTGATGAAGAAGCAGCTTTTATGAATGAATCTTGGAAGATAGTGAAACTGGGAAATATGTAAAAGGTCACAAGCAAGGGAAAGGATAAAAGTTCTCTCTCTCAATAAAGAAGAAAAGCTTGGAGGAGAAGAGAAAGGAAAAAAGAAAACAACCCTTAATAAAAGGGCTATAAAGAACGAAAAGGGTTAAACAAAAAGTAGGAATAAATAAACAAAGCTATACATATCATACAAGGTGTAAGACGCGATGGGCGTGCTGAAGAGAGAGTAAAAGGGCCAAAAAAAAAGAAAAAAGAAAAAAAGCAAGCAAAGTGAAGCTTGGGGCTTGGCCATGGCCGACGCCCCATGCTCTGTTTCTCATCTCAAATTCTCTCCCATCAACTTTTGGAATGATGTGAACTTTTGTAGGAAGTGATCAAATTATCATACTTGTTCTTTGACGGAATCACAGCTTAATCATACTTAATCTACCTATATGTATCCCTTCTCTCTCTCTTTTTCATATATATCTTCAGAAGCAGACAAAATTAAGCTCTTTGACAGATTCGTTTCCTCACCCTCATCATAGTCAAAAAGGATATTTCAGACGTAAGAATCACTACTCCCCCCTCTCTTATATTTATACATCAAGATTTAATTTGAAAATATAAAATTTTCATGATTAAGCACGTCAATTAATGTTTTATTCTATACATGCATAATTTTAGTCTTATACTTATTTTCTAACTTAAATTTTAATAGTTTTTTTTTTAAAAAACAATTAAATGTGTAGTAGGAAGAAGGTAGAGAGGAAGTATTACAGGTTGTAGATCACAATCGCAAAGGAATTAGTATGTATAAATGTAGAGAAAAGTGTAGGGATTTATTCTAGGGTTATTGTTTGCCACTATGGCCTACATGGGAAGAAACGAAATCATTGAGAAATTAAATGTATATCAGAATCGTCTGTATCCGAGGCATTATTACGAAATAGTATGAATAAATATATGTATGTATGTCATCTATAGAAACAATTTTGGAGTGAATCCAAAATTATATTTTAGACAATAATTAGAAAATTATAAGTGTATAAAAACATGATTACCATATTATAACTTATAATATCTAAATCTTCATTCAATAAAAATAAATTGCAAATCTTAATTTTTTATAATGTTAATTTAAATATAAACAAATAGTAAAAAAAAATGTAAACTATAGTGGGGTCAATTGGAATTGCAACTCAATATGCATAGAGAAAATAATTTTGCTGCAAATTGGATGGCCAAATGGAGTCTCAATCAATCTGCCCACTTGAACGTCTTTCATGATCCACCTCCTGGAATTAAAATAATTTTCAATGCGGATGCTGGTGCTGTGGCGTTCCCACACTATATCCTTTGTTAGTTGGGTTTTTGTACCGTATTACACAAAAAAAAAAAAAAAAATTTATATATATAAAATTTTCAAAACGACGGGTTTAAGAGACAGGAAATTACAAGGGTGAGATGTAAGCTTCTTATCTATAAATAACAAAGGAGTATATTACTAGTACAAAAGAAAAAAGGAATATATAATTTTACTCCATCAACGTAGTTGGGGGAGGCCCCTCACACATGGGAAACTCCGACTAACTAGCTAGTCTTCAATAAAATCATAGCTAGATATGGTGTGATCTGATCATCAATAACTCAAATTGGATTTCAACCACACACAAATTCCATGAATGATAGTGAGAAAATGTGCAAACCCACCAGAAGAATCGGATAGGGCAAAGTTCAAAACGTAACTTCATGTCTAAAATTCTTAAGTAAATCATATGTTATTTCTTATAGCCGACATATTATAGTTATACAAAACAATATATATATATATAGTATAGATTTTAAAGCCTAAAAATAATCCGAATTGTCTTATAAAAAATCGTATTAAAGAAATATATTCCGGGATCTAGTTACGTACTTTTGAAGGTGATCGATCACAACGCAAAGAAATACAAGAAATCAGAGAAGGTGTGTCAATCATGTTATTGATGAAGAATTAATATAAGAGGTTGTATCATATTCCACTGGAAAATGTTGGAGAAGTATTTGTTCACTGTATATAGCCCAAGCCTGATTGCTGATTTTATAAATAGATAACAATAGAAGCAATTGCAGTGAGTGGGCAAGGGAGAGAGAAAGCATGGTCGTTGCTATCATTTCTCTTCTCGGACCTTTGTTGAAAGTCTTGGGATCGAAGGTAGGGATCATAATCATCGCCTAGAGGAGGTATTAATTATCTTCCTGTAATTGCAGTGAGTGCAATAAAGGATTGTAACATAAAGATAGTTTTTTTTTTTTTTGAGCGAAATCTTGCATTGAGGGATAGCTGCAAAAAAGTTTGTCTGAAAAGAAAAATAAATAATTAAAGTTTTAAAGTCACAAAGAGAGAGAGAGAGGTATGGGGAAGGGATTATTCAAGTTTTCTCTTCCTTTCTTTTCAAGACTACTTTAAGATGGAAACCTGAAAGAGTAAAGAGGAAAACTGAGAAAAGTTGCTTAGCTAAAAGCAACAAGGTATGTGGCTGTCACCTGAACTGTTTTCTTTGATTAGTGTGAGAGATTCCCGGACACAAGCTGGTTAGTGGAATTTTAATTACTCAATCTTGGGATTTTCAAGCCTTTTCTTTTAAAAAAATTTGTCATTATGGAGCCTGAAAATGTCCATCACCAACACCAGCTCCAAGACCAGCTTGTTGGGTCTTCTTCTTTACCTATCCCACCCAGTTATGGAGTTGCAAGCAGTACCCATTCTTGGACCCCAACCTCCTCAAGTATTATTTTGTAAGTCACTTCTCTCTCTCTAATTAAGCTTTTGTACACAAATATTTTGCTCTTCACAGTTCACTCATCATGAATTTACTTTAACTCCGGAATCTTTTTCCTTTTTCTTTTCTGATTTGATGTGCATCAATCCGAATTATGTAGTTAAATTTTACTCGGTTGATTTTGTTGATTATCAATTGATTTTCAGGAGAATATTTTCTTTTTCATTTGTATTGTCTTTGGATTCCTTGAACTTGTGGGTTCACAAAGTACAGTAAAATCACTTATCTTTTAATTGCTTTCCATATCCTCCAGTGGCTTGTTCATTTTGTCTTTCATTTTAGGAAATTTATACCCCTTTTTTTTGTTTGTTTTTTGCAGGAACACCAGTGAGTTCATTCCAGTTTACAATGGGGATATCTCACACTCAATGCAGAAAAATAGCATTTTAGCATATTCTTCTCAAAACAGTTCCATGATCCAAGACTGGACTAACAATGAAGGAAGCTTCGCCACCCATTCTTGCCATGACATACACCTGGCCAAAATCAAGGAAGAGCTCTCAGAATCTCTCACAAGATTCACTGAAATGTTAAGCGACACCTCATCAAGGGATGTCGGAGATTCTCGTCAGCTACCTCCTACAAACTACTTAAAGAATAATGAGCAAAAAGACTTGCATGATCTTAGCGAGAAACTATTGCTCAAGACAATATCTTCTGGTTTTCCAATGTTTTCAGCTGGATCAGAATTTTACTCAACCACCCAGAATTGTTCTATCCCTGGAAGTACTTGTTTACCAAGTAGAAGGAATTTCAGCCAGATATATCCTAGTATAAATATTTCAAATTTGAGCCAAGCATCTTCCCCTAATATCCCAAGCTCCTTCGACATGAATTTGGAGGCCTTGGATCTCTTAAGTCCTGCAAGATTTAGTAGCAGAAGCAGTTTTACCAATCCTTCGCGTGATCATAATAATCTTGGTATATACAAAGAGATCAGCCCTTCTTTTGGTTTTCATCACCACCATTTTCAGCAGTCAAATCAGAGGCCAGCTTATAGCCCTAGTAAAGTAAGTGCTTTCTATTCTTTCTTGTAGCAGCATTCATTTCTGCCACAAACCAGACCTTCAGTACAAAACATTATTGCCAGTATAATTTTAACACTGCTCGGCCATGGCTCAGATATATGGCACTGCATGCAATATTTATTATTATTTTTTCTCATGCACTCAACTTAAATCATGCAGTGTAATCTTATCAGCTCCTATGAAAATTAATTCTGATCGGAGTGTTGGATGAAATCAGTAAGATCAAGTAGCTGTTCAGTACCTTAATCATATATTCCAATCTAATACTCCATTAATAGGTAGTTGAACAACCTTGAATATTAGTCAAGTACTTTATTAAATGGCTAAGGAAAAAAACTGAAAAGTTGAATATCTTTATTCATAAGTAAGAATATTTTTTCTGGTTCCAAGTAACGCCCACTTAAAGGAAATATACAGCCTTTGATCTTTTGCTAAGCAATGGGGTATCTTCAGCTTTAATCGTTTGTATGCATATATCTTTACCAGAACTTCATGCCTTTTTTATTTTATTCTATTTTGTTTTTTAAACTGCTTTTTGGTGATCATTCAACTGATCATCTTTAATCTTTGCACTTCATGAAAGATATCACCCTTCCCCACTGAAATAATAGAGGCAAAGAAACCGAGCATTTTAGCGGAAGCAAAGGCAACAGCAGGTGCAACAGCCAAGAAATCTCGTTTGGAGTCACGCGCTTCCTGCCCTCCCTTTAAGGTGCCTAATAAGGACCAAAAAAAAAAACGTGATTTTGAGCACATTATTAGTAGCTCGTGATTAATTTTAATGGTAGCTAAACGCTTTTTCAAGATCAAAGACAAGATTGCTAATTTTACAGTTTCCAACCTTATATTATTTGCGTTTGCATTCAGCAGGTTAGGAAAGAGAAATTGGGAGATAGAATTGCAGCTCTCCAACAATTGGTTGCTCCTTTTGGCAAGGTAAATTCTTTGCTTTTTTTTAAATTTTTATTATAAAATAGGCAATTTTGAGTTTGGATAAACGAAAATATAAGAATTGAAATTGAAAATTTAAATTTATTAAATATAACACTTAAAAATAATCATATAAATCAAATGGTAAACTTTGAAGTATGTGGAGAGAAGCACAATAATAAAACATCTTACTATTACCACTGCAAGAAAAATAAAAAGAAAGAAGTTTAAGGTTGTTTGGTTTAGTGAGTAATTAATGGAAAATGACGTGTATTTTTTGCATGTGGGGTGGGGGGGGGGGGGAGAATACTACAGACAGATACAGCGTCCGTACTAATGGAGGCTATTGGATATATCAAATTCCTTCAAAATCAAGTCGAGGTACTTTTACTTCCCAGACATTCTCCTTGAATTTTGCATTTCTTACATATATTCTCTTACACATTATTAAAATATTACTATTACAGTTATGGGTGCAAGCTAGCCTCAACTAATTGTGCTTCTAGAAGTTACCCTAAAATACTCAGGCAAACTAGCTCTTAGGGTTTCTCCCTAGGGTTCTTGCTTCTTAATTTATAAGGGTTTTATAATTTTCTCTTCCTCCCTTAAGGTATACCAAGTTACCAACTTCAATTTAACTGCCTTGATATTTTATTCATCCCATTGAACAACAAAACATAAAGATAATTGTAGGCTGTGTACTTTAACGGTGGAACTTTTTTTTGTTTCTTTGGATTCTGACCAGATTTCCAGAGTTTCTATAGTTTATTCTTTGGGCACAAAAAGAAAGAGAAAGCCTTATGATCAACGTGGTCTACAGTGGCGAAAAAGGAAAGTTATTTTGTTTTTCCCTCCCTTTAGAGTTCAGACGTTAGTCTCACATCCGCCTCAGGATTCGTATGGGTTTCTGCCTTTTCAATTTCCTAATGGAAAGAAGGGCATTAATATCACCCTTACTTGGAAAACCGTGGAAAAAGCACAGCTATTGCCCATAGTTGATGACTTCCAAGAAGCTATCTTATTCATTCCATTTCCTGCACCCTAGCTTTAATACGCTTTCTTCAGAATGAGTTAAAGAAATAAAAGAGAAAAAAAAAAAAAAAAGAACTTAGCCATACCCATTTAGACTTAATTAATTGTAAATGGAAAAACGGCTTTATTGCTTTTTTTCTTTTACTTTTTCATATATAGCTCGGAGAAGGGAAAATTTATTCATTGGATTACTTATATATATATATAAATATTGAGTAATGTATTTGTTTTTTCTGCAGACATTAAGCGTTCCATACATGAAGTCATATCGCAACAAAACATCCAGATCCAAACAAGGGGTAAGAAAAACCAATCTATAATTGCCAATGGAAAATAACTTTTTCAAGTCATTTCATGAATTAGGGAGCCTTGGGTTTTGGGGGGGGGGGGGGGGGGGACAAGGGGATTTGAATCACTTTAATTACTATATGTGCTTTTTAACATTGAAACTCTTGTAATAATATTGATCTCTAGGGTTCAACAATGGAGGAGGGTAATGAAGAAGAAGCAAAGCGAGATCTCAGAAGCCGAGGTCTATGTCTAGTGCCATTGTCGTGCATGTCTTACGTGACTAACGACAGCGGTGGCAGCATTTGGCCACCGCCCAACTTCACCGGAGGAACTTATAACAACAACTGCTAGCTTAGTTTGAACCGATCGAGAATCTAGAGGAGATATTAAATCTTGGGACATTATGATAAAAATACTGATTATTTTCTAAGCCCACATGTTGACTAATAGAATAATAAATTCTAGCTTTGGTTTCTATGGAACAAATTTGGTCATCTTGTTAAAATTACTAGATGGACCAAGTTTGATCCATTTACATTATTTCTTGTACTTTTAACCTTTTAAAATTATATAGTTTCTAGATTTTAAAAGAGCTTCTTTCACATTTGTCTTTTCAATAATTGATTGCAATTTACTAAAGCTTATCTAAATTAGTTAGTTTCAACCTTAAATGATAGAAATATCCCCAAAGTTCATCATTTGGGTTGAAATTTCTTACCGCTAGTAATAAAAAATAATTCTATTATCTATGAAGCTTGAAGAAAATTAATTAAAAGTAACTTTTATTTTATAAAAAATAAATAAATAAATAAAAAGGTATATGCTTTCTTATGTTTCCTGGTCCATCTTGTAATGCTGGCCGGATTAAATTCAAAATCAGGAAGCCCACAGCATTTTTTTGGCCCAGTAAGTATAATAAATCTTTTTTTTTTTTTGTTCATGCCTACTTATAATATTATTTCATGAAGATGTTGTTCGATCAATCATATATATTGCAAAAATCCAAAAGATATAGTCAGTGTCAATCTGTCGATTTAATCTTACAATTTTGAACAAAAACTTTAACATACATTCAATAGAAACCAAAATTCATTGTTTATATTAATTTTAAAATATTAAAAAATAAATTCATAGAGCAACACAAATTATTCAATAAATTAAAATATGATTGAGGCCCCAAATCAAGCTAATGCATCTTCACCCTCGATGCAACCACATGGATATTTTACAATAAGATTTACGTCATTAAATGTTGTACATAAAAAACTTAGTTGCCGTACGCATTAATTAACTAAGATTATAAAGAAAGAATTAATCTTTGACGCTGACCATATAATTTTAATTCATTTCAAGTAGGGAATCTCGATGCTTCCCAAGCTTTTCCAACCAAATTGCTAAGACAAAACAACCCTTCACTCTTCATATACATATTTCGTAATCCACAAGGCTAGCGTTGATTTCATTGGTGTTGTCACCAACTTCTTGTTATATATTGTTTCTCTTCCGATCAATCACTTTGCAAATTTAAATAACGGTGCTAATGATTCATTTCTTCACGTTTTCCACTGCAAAAATTAATGAAATAATTAATTAAAGAGTTCATTGACAATAGCTAATATTATAGTAATAATAATGGGATTAAATTTAATCTCTTTGTTTGATTGTAAGCTTGGATCCAACTTTTTCAAACTTGGAAACGACATTAGTAGTTTTCAATGAATAATTGAATATATAATTCTAAATTAATACTTCATCTTCGATGTTTGAATCTTTTCAACAAAAATTTCGACCGTCAATAAAAATTTTAAAATTTATAAATAAAATTCGAAAGGTTGATAATTTTATTTTTATTATTTCAAAATATATTTAAAAAATAATAATTTTAATCTAATAATGGAAATTTCATATTTGACGATTTTACCCTCTCCTCTCATCCCCTACCCTTCAAAACGATTTGGTTTATCCCTAATAATGAATTTTGATATTTTTAGGGGACGGCCATAACTTTGATATTTTTTGGAGCTAAGGACAGAGCCTATCCAGATTGTCTGATAGAATCAGTATACAGGTGGCGCTCATCTATAATCTTGTCTCCTTCGGCCGGCTAATGTTGAGGTCACTATCAGAACCAGGTAGCCCTTTTTTGTCCTTCCATTTTAAATCCCATTTCTACCCTTCCATCCATCACAATATCACCAAAATGTTAACCGTTATTTTACGATTTTTTTTTTAAGTTACCGCCATAGTCGAAGTAACATATAAGAAAAACTATTGAGTTCAAATAAATAAATAAATCATTTAATTAGCAAACAATGTAATAAATTCAATATAAAATTAGACTCGACACTATCTTATGCATTAAAAACAAATAAATAAGCTTTGCTCGGAATTATTAAAGTTTCTTATGATATTTTAATGTTTTATTTTTATTTTTTTAAATAAATAAAAATCTATCAAATTGAGCTTAATTTATTATCATATTTTTTTTATAAAATTTAAACATTTTATTAAAACCATACATGGACAAATTTGCAGGTTGGCAAAGCATGTTCATAGAAAATATCAATCAGAACTTCACTTTGGTACATCATATTTATCACATTAATTATTCAAGAAGTATAAATAAAGGTTGCATGTGCCTTTATCTAGCTTAAAGAAATATATCTCAGCTTGCATAATCAATATTTGGCGTTTACATATAATTTATTTACATCACCATCGATCTTGACATTTTGCAACACTATTGATAATTTTATAGCAATTTGCCATATAAAGTCAACACCCAAAATTTGGACCCATTTTTTTTAATAACTGAAATATTATTCCACCATCCAATTCAAAGCAAACATGACATTGTAATTGTGATCCCAATTAAATGTTGTAATTTATGAATTGTTGACTTTAATAAAATAAATAAAATAAAATCAAGTTTAGATTTGAAAGAGAAAACAAGTTATTTTTCAAGATTTAAATTAATTTTATTTATCTTAAATTAAAAATTCAATCATGAAACACAAATTTTGATATAATGAGAAATGAAAAATTATTTTTGTACTAACAAGTAGGAACTTTATGCTTTCATTTTTTTCTCGAAAAATAAATATTTGTTTATAATCCAAAAATCTATTATATTTACTACAAAAGAAAATACTATTAAAAACAAAATTAAAAAAAAAAAAAGCGAAATTACCGAATTAGTCAGCGTAAGAAAAAGCCAACACCCAACAGGGACAGAAGCGTAATTTGATAAAAGAGTTTCAAAGGTTGATGAAGGGCGTAGATTCAACGCGATAGGGAGAGGGCAGACTTGTTATGTAATTATATCCAAAAAATAATTTTAAAAAAATCTTATCTTCAGCCTGTCTTTCATTCCGTCATCTGATCCCCACCTCGTCGGTTGTTTGCTTACTCTTTAAGCTCCTTTTTCTCTCGTTATTTCCATCGATATTTCCTTTTCTCATTTTCTTTGCTTTTTCTTCTTCATTCTCTTCCTTTCTTCTTTAGAAATTAGATCTAAAAAAAAGCTTCTTCATATTCCACACATTAATTAATCAATCAATCAATCAAGAGTTTCCTTCAAACTTCGAAAGATTCTTGTGAATCTCAAAAAACTTTACTCTGATCGATCGCTGATTAAAACCGATCTTTGATTATTCATCTGTATAGTTATAGTTCCAGCTTTTGGAAATTACCTTTTCAGGTGTAGATTTTTGTTTATTTGATGCTTTAATTCTAAAAATAGGATCATCCGCCGCCTTTAAATTAAATATGATATATAAAATTTTTGGATCTTGCTTTTTTTTTTTTTTTATTGTTTTAGTTTCTTTCTAAATCGGGAGCTCAAGTAAAGAAACAATACCAAAAATAAATCGTAAATTTCCTTTCAGATATTTTCTCACTAGGAAATAATTACAATTTATAAATATCTGATTTTTGACAATCTATTTATTTTTTATTGTGGGGTAGGTGGTGAAAGAGGAAAGATGGTTTCGTTGCAAGGACCGGTGATTTGCCCTGCCGTTCGGAGCAAACAAGTTTATACGTTGCCGGTGAATGGGCCTTTCCCGAGGGCAAGATTGCATAGAAGTGATATATGGGGATATAGAGGGGTAACTGATGGAAAGAGTCAGTCACGTGCCAGTTCTCGTCAATTGAAACTGCGAAAGTGTAAGACCATGGTGCAGTGTAGTTTGAGTTCATCGTCAGATGAGAATGGAAGCATGGCCGAGAATTTCAATGAAAACGATGAAAATTATGTTAATTCCAGTTTGGTTGAAGCTGGTATGTGGATTCTAAGCCAATGATTACTTCATTATTGTTGTTATCTTCGTTGTTGTTACTGCCTTTAAATTCGATATAAACTCTCTATATGTATAGAATTGTTGATATGTGGTAGTAATTAACTGGGGTATTTCGTAATTAGTTGAGTTGAGGAGTGGGGCCGACGGATATATGATCAAAATGAGGGATGGTAGGCATTTAAGGTGCGTCCATAACAATCCTCAAAGTGAGCATCTGCAGCATGATGCACCGCATCCTGTCATCGTTCTGAAGATGGAAGATGGGACCGGTCTTCTTCTCCCAATCCTTGTTTGTATGTGATCTTTCATGATCCCAATCATTGGGCTCTATTTGTTATTTTTTCCAGTAATGTTTGATTTGAATTGTGGTTTTGAATTGCAGTGGAGATGCCGAGTGTGTTGCTCATGGCAGCAGTGCGCAATGTCCAAATTGTATGTTATTGTTTTCTCTTCCGGTTGCGTCAGAATTCTGGTTTTCCTGGCATGTTGGTTCTATTGAATTTGGCCTTTGCTCTTGGTTTTTGCATTGAAATGTGAATGCTGATATATGTTTTGGCTATTGGTTCCAGGCTAGACCTACTATGTATCAAGTGGTGAAGGACATAATTGACAAGATGGGCTACTCGGTATGATTCCTCAGTTCCTATCTCTCAACATTTTATTATCGTAATGCCACTACCATTACTAGATGCTGGCATTTTCATCTTTTTGACTTGTTTTTACTCCTTTGAGATCTGGATTGTGAATTTGTGATATTTATCTTGTTCTTCTGCAGGTAAAGCTTGTTAGACTTACTAAAAAAGTGCAGCTGGCCTATTTTGCTCAGTTGTACCTAACAAAGGTATGTATCTACTTCAGAATGGAACTTGTGTTCTTTCCCTCTCTCCCTCACACTTTTGGCATATTTGTGTGACTTGCAACTGCGGGATATTCTTGGGAGTAGTCTTCACTGACTCATGTTGGATGTTCTCACAGTTGGGTGATGAAACAGAGTCTGTCAGTTTTGACCTTCGTCCTTCTGATGCCATCAACATTGCTGTGAGATGCAAGGTACTCTTACTCGTTATTATCTAGCATGATTCTTTGTGTACCAAATAGTATTTGGAGAATTTTACCCGTAGCATTGAAGTATCTCGATTATAATTGTTTTGCTACAATCTATCATGAGAATGGTTAAGATGGGTACTTTCATGGTCCTTGTTGAAGCATGCTACACATATTTAATTAGTATTTTTTTTTTACATGATACTATAAATCCTTGCTAGATAGTATTTTCCAACAGCTAAAACACATAAGATGGTTCAGCAATGCTTGTTGATGGTTTCAAAGATTAGTGTTGAGGAGAAAGAATGCCTAAGATATGGTTTTGGATTGTCCCGAATGTTTATGCCTGTTTATTGATCAAGAATACCTCACAATATCGTAGGACATTGTTAGAAAATTTCCCCCTTACTTTAAGTACAGTATAACCTCTAAAAATGGTAATGATCCTGGAAAATTGACTTTAGCATTTCTATGGACATGATTGCAAAAATCCTGTACCTTTTGTAGAGAAGTATTCCTGTGGCTGTCTATACTTTTGTGATGACCTCATATTGTATTTCCCCTTTTTATTTTTGGGCTTTTCGGCTGCCTAAACTAGAGTGTTTTGTGAAATATGGTTTAAACATAAATTTTTTTATACCTATTTTTCTGTTTGATATCTGCCCTGATTAAATTCTACCCAAATGTGAAAGCTTTTCAGAATATGACCTTGGAAGCCTACCTGATGTGCTCTGTAGGTACCTATACAAGTGAACAAGTACTTGGCATACAGTGATGGCATGCGAGTGATTGAATCAGGGAAGCTGCATTCTCCAGCTTCAGATGGCTTGTTATTTGCTGAACTGGACCGGTTAGACTTGAAACCCCTTTGGAGAATTTTTCATTTGCTTTTTTTTTTCCCTGGGAGAATTAGATGCGTTAACACTTGTAGCCTGTAGGAGATTCTTGTTCTTGAATATGAGAATCTAGAATGCAACATGCTTTAATTTATGGTTTCAGGCCAAGCGGTCAGCATTGTCTTGATACGGAGGAGTTCAAAATTGTCCATGACTTAAATGAGGCTATTAATCAGGAACGCTACCAGGATGCTGGTACTCTCTCTCTCTGTCTCACTTTCATATTTCATTTGACTGTAAAAAACATAACCAATGACCTAGAGTTGGAGTTTTTTCAACACTTCTTCTCTTGGTGATAGCTGTCTCCTTGATACCTGAGAGGTTAATTGATGAATTGCTATCCACTATAGGTTGTAGCCTTTATCTTTTAAAGTTGTACCCTAGTTGTACCCTAATTTCAAAGAGTAACTCTTTATATATTTAATTGTGATCCAAAATGAAGTCAATTTAATATGTAGACTGGATTTTAATTATATCAAGCTCAAGATCTTAAGATCTTCTAACATCTTTAAACCAATGTGTTGTAAATTAGAATTGTAGCATGACCTACCTCATCTTTTCTTGTTAATATATCTGTTGCACCCTGACAGCTGACTTGAGAGACAAACTTGGTCAGTTTCGGGCTCAAAGGAACTTGCGAAAGTACACGTAACAGGTAATGTTAATACATTGAATTAGGTTGAATCTTGAAGTTGTATTTGTGTTCTGTACTATCCTCTTCTTCTCCCCCTTTCTTTTTCCGACTTTGAGCACAGACAATTGACATTAGCAAGTTGTTATTTGTGTCAGTTGTTCCTGGTGACTTCAAATTGTAAATAGAGTTATTGTTGGAAGCTGATGAACTGGGTTGCGGCAACATCCTGCAGCGATCAGTTGTCTAATCTTCTACCAAATATGTATGTAAGAAGTATGTGAATATATGTATAGATACAGTTAAAAACATGTTGATGTAATGTTTAAGTACGTTGGTTTATGCTTATCAATTTATCAATTTTCATGTTCGGGTTAAACAGCATTCATTGCATTGATCATCCAAATAAGGCCATTGGGTTGACATGTTACTCAGGTTGGGTTGTCGTCTGGTCGTATTCAATTACGCTAGGTAAGGTGTTTTAGGTATGCATTGGTAGTCCTAACATAAAACATTTTGGTGCAATGCTTGTGTTTGGGAAGAAAAAGAGTTCCACACAATTAAAATGGCAAGTACATATGCATTGGTTGGGCTTCACCTCCAACCAGATTAAAAATATTATTTTTTTATTAATATTTTAAACATTTTCTAATATTAACATTAAATAAAAATATATTTTATTAATAAAATTACATTTTCTATTAGATTGGATTGAGTTTGAGTTTTGAAAGGTTGTGTTCAAAATATAACTTGATACTTTGGAGTGTCTCGTTTAATTCATGTATTAAAAACATAATTTTTTAAAAGATAAATTTTATAAAATTAAATCCAAGTAGAGGTTCATACGAATGGTTTAGTGTAAACAAAAAATCAGAAATTAAAAGAAAATGGAATAGTAGTCAAGTCTTATTTAAACATAAATAAATAATTAATTCTTGATGAGTAGATAAGAAGAGTAGATGACACACAAAACATCTGCCCTTAAAAGCACAGAATTAAACAATTTAAGACAGCGACGGAAACTCGTTACGCGTCAGTAAATTTCGTCCAAGAATATCTACACACGGCGACACCTTATCTTGCCACCTCTCAACTTTGTCAAAGTGGGACCACTCCAATGTTTTCACCCGCTAACGGGGAGAGAAACTCGTAGTTACGTGGGCATCCGCGTTTCAATAGGCTCCCGTCGTTTGCTTTGCCGATAATAAATACTAGCAATACTACATTTCAATTTTTAACAATCCAATCATTGAAAAATTTTTTACGCTATTTATTTTCTTTATTTATTTTTCTCTCTAAGCTTCAGCAACCCCGTCAACTGCGAACATCGAGTTCTTTGAACTACCGTTTCTTTTTAGATCCCAATAGTTCCCTTTAGTTCTTTTTAACTCTCTTTGATTTAAGTTGTGTGTGTGTGTGTGTGTGTGTGTGTGTGTGTGGTTCAAACAATCTTATTGGCCTTCTTGATCGTTGGATGCTTTTTGGCCGATTGATCCTTTAAACATGTCCGGTCCTCTCGATCGTTTCGCAAGGCCTTGTAAGTAAATTTCTCTTCATAATCCAAAATTCTCTGCTTTCCCTTTCCAATCGTTTTGAATCGTTTTGTTCTATCAGTTATGAATTCTAGGGTTTTTAGTCGGTTATTGATTTCATATCATTAGTTTTCTTGAATTGTACTGCTGTTAATTCTGTTTAAGTTGGTTATCGGTGTTTTGATGAAATTCTTGCTATATAATTTGAATTAATATTTCAGAATATCAATTTTAAATAAGATTTGGAGCATTATTGATGAACTTCCTTTTGATTGATATGTAGGTTTTGAAGGTATTGCTTTTAGCAATGATGAAAAAAAAGATAGGAAATCGGATTTCGAAATCTCTGAAGATGATAGGAAGACTAGAATTGGGAATCTTAAGAAGAAAGCAATGAAGGCATCGAGTAAATTCAGACGTTCTCTTAAGAAGAAAAATAGTAGGAGGAAAAGTGATCTTTCTGCTTCTTCCATTAAGGATTTTCGAGATATTGAGGAGTTGCAAACTGTTGATGCTTTTCGTCAGGCATTAATTGCTGAGCAGTTGCTTCACGCTAGACATAACGATTATCATATACTATTGAGGTACTTAATTAGCTTGGAGATCGCAATCTTCTTTACTTTTATCAATAATTGCCTGAACAATTGTTCCTGTCGAGACGGTAAAAAAAATGATGCAAGATTGGTTTAGTTTACTCTGTGTTTATGGAAAGTTCTGTCTCCGAATAGGTGTTTTCTTGCAGATTCTTAAAAGCAAGGAAGTTTGATATCGAAAAAGCAAAGAACATGTGGGAAAATATGATCCAATGGAGGAAAGATTTTGGTACTGATACTGTTTTGGAGGTGATCTCATCTAGTGGTTTTATTTATTTCATCTTATTGCAGGAATTCCCCATGTTATCCGTGGGATCTTTGTTAGTTTGTGTTAAATATTTGCCTATGTCCTAAGTTTTTTAATGCCTGTTTTAAATGGATCAATGCTGACTCACTTTTATGAAAATGTTATTGTGATTTAATCAGGATTTTGAGTTTAAAGAGTTGAATGAAGTGTTGAAATACTACCCTCAAGGTTATCATGGGGTGGATAAGGAAGGAAGACCTGTTTATATTGAATTGCTAGGAAAAGTTGAACCTGACAAGGTCATGCGAGTGACAACTTTGGAACGATATGTAAGATACCATGTGCAGGAGTTTGAAAAGTGTTTTGCAACCAAGTTTCCAGCTTGCACCATTGCAGCAAAGAGACACATAGATTCCAACACAACTATTTTGGATGTTCAAGGCATGGTATGTTTTATGTTGTTTCTTAGATTTTATAATCTTCCCTGCCATCATTTTATGTTTTGCTTAATAGCATTTGCATGTTTTTCATTCCCTGGAATTTTTCATCATAGGGTGTTAAAAACTTTAGCAAGTCTGCACAAGATCTTGTGAGGCGGCTGCAGAAGATTGATAGTGATAACTATCCTGAGGTAGATATTGTACCAGTTGCTAATGTGTTCAGATGTTTTGTGATAATTGCTGGTGTTTTCAGTATTGATAGAACTTTGTCAGGAATGTTTATCATCAATTCTCCCTCTGCAGACTCTTTACAGAATGTTCATCATCAATGCTGGTCCTGGTTTTAAGATGGGCTGGAAAGCTGCCAAATCTTTTCTTGATTCTAAAACTGCTAGTAAGATTACTGTAAGTTCAAAATCTTGGTATGGTTTGGCTTTTTTCTGGAGTTAAAGTTTCTACTGTTCTCAGTTAATAGAAGTTACCTCATTTTCGAAATTTCTCTCAGGTTCTTGGTAGCAACTACCAGAATAAGTTGCTTGAAGTTATTGATGCAAGGTAATGAAATTTTATGGTTGCAGATATGCTGGGTAATTCACATTTAATTGTACCGGACACTAAAGCTTTTTGATATCTTAAACTTGGTTAGTGAGTTGCCTCAATTTCTGGGAGGTAGTTGCACCTGTGCTGATAAGGGAGGTTGCATGAGATCAGACAAAGGTCCATGGAAAGACCCCAACATATTAAAGGTCTGATATGCACTTTCTGAACAAACATTCCCTTATTCTCCGATCCCCTTCTTTTTCAGTGTTATCTCATACATGTTTTAAGAAAAATGATTGAATGTTTTCATGCAGATGATTGCCAATGGTGAAGCACTATTTTCCAGACAGATTGTGACAGTTTCAAACAGCGAAGGAAGGGTTATTGCCTGTGATAAGCCATGTTATCCTGTGGTATGGTTCACTAGATTGTCTTGCAGAGTCATATCATGACTTCTCAGCTTTGAGTTTTACATTGTTAGAATTTAGTCAAATATTCTCTAATTTTAGTTCTGCTTTTCTTTTCTTTTTTTTCATACTGGGTCAGATAAAGAGTAGTGACACATCTGCAGCTGAGTCAGGATCTGAAATGGAAGAAATTGCATCTCCTAAGACAACAAGAAGCTATTTACATCCAATATTGGCTCCTGTTAGCGAAGAGGTAGGTGCTTTAAATTGTGATGAATGATTAAGTGGCAAAAAAGGATTTCATTCATTGCATGCCAGATTCACAGTTTAAAACAGCATCAACACCATGATAGCCCTTTTGTCTATCCAATAGTGCTTGACTTGCTAGCATATGTGTGGATGCTTTGCTCACTGTATGAAATAACATGGTAACATCCTAAGATGGTTTAGAGGGAGTAAGCTTACAGTCTCACGCTATAAATTCTTAAATCTTGAACTAATAACAGCATACCATGATGTTTGTATAGGCTAAAATGGCTGGTAAGGCAATCTCTGCTGGTGGTTTGTCCGAGTATGATGAATATGTGCCCATGATTGACAAGGTTGTAGATTCGGAATGTGAGATACAAGTGTCCCATCATAGTCCATACACTTCAAGAGGTTAGCAATATGATCTGTGTTTAAAAACTTTTTTTTTACTCCCACCAATCTGACAGGAGAAACTATTTTGTGTACTGTGTCATCTCAACTATAAAATATATGCTTAAAGCCAAATTTTAATGCCTTTTAAATGGTGTTACAAGTCCTACTCTCATGCGAGACATATGGTATCAACCTCAAGGTTTATTGAGAGATAAATAATTAACAGTCAAAATAAACAGAATGTTGCCAGGCTTTGGACATCTCTCTTTTCTCGTTCTCTCACTCACATTTTCAAAGCTTTTTAGCTCATTGTCACAGATTTATTTAATCAAATCATGAGTCATAAGAACAGTGTAACCAAAACCAGAGCTCGATTATCTCCTATATTTTCAATATATTTGACTTTGATGAAGTCTATTGGCTTTAATTGCAGGAACTCCCCTGCTGCCGGTAGAGCAGACTCCGAAAGGAATCTATGGTTGTATCGTAGCTGTAATTGTTGCCTTCTTGACCTTTTTTACTCTTATCAAAGCCATGATGTTAAATCTGATGAAGAAGCGGAGTATAACTGATTTGACAAGTAGCATTCCTGACCAGCATGTTGAGTCGACGGACAAGGAGGAAACTCGTCCCCCTTCACCTGCTCCAAGGTTTACCGAGGCAGACCTCCTATCATCTGTTGTAAGAAGGCTGGGTGATCTAGAAGAGAAGGTTGAGGTGCTACAATCCAAAAGATTTGAGATGCCTCATGAGAAAGAGGAGTTGTTGAATGCTGCTGTTTGTCGTGTGGATGCATTAGAAGCAGAGCTAATTGCCACAAAAAAGGTAATTACTGTTTGATACCACCTTCTTATTTGATTCAAGGTCGTGATTAGTCTTATGAAGCATTTCAAGCCTGTCTTGATCTTTTTCCCCAACTATCATGACTCTTTAATTAGAAGACTAGAGTCTGATGTATGATGCATGTTCTCTTCCTTGTTGATGGGAGCTTCCATATGTTTGGCTGAGTTTGTGTTATTGATTGTTCTTTTTCTATACATGAACAGGCTCTTCATGAAGCTTTAATGCGGCAGGAAGAACTCCTTGCTTATATAGATAGTCAAGAAGAAGCCAAGTCTCGGGTAAGTAAAAAGACTCTGTGGTTAACTATCAATACATGCCATCTGATTTACATTAGTTAGATAAATGACTGCATCTTTGTATGCTTGCATGATTGCAGAAAAGGAAGTTTTTTTGCTGGTGAGATGAGAATGAGATTTCTGTACCAAAAAGAATTGGCGGAATTTCTATCAGCATTCAATACTTTTTATATTACTTTCTTACGAAGGGTTTGATGCAATGTAAATAAAATACCGTACTAAATATCACAATTGTAGCAGATGAGATGGCTCCTAAGTTTGTCGTCTGGACTGGAGGTGGAGTGGTACCTGGTTGTCGTTTTGGAGGTTTATTGCACAGTTTGATTGTGTATTAGTAATAATAGATAAAAGACTTTTTATTTTCTTTGCCACCTTTTCATATGCATATTGGGTCCTGGGGCTCCCAATCACCAATTTTCGGCTCTCTCCATGTCCATTAACACCTTACCCCAGTAACTATCATCTTGCCCCAATCACCCCTTTGACAGCCCATCATTTTGCCTTTCTCTCTCTTTTTTCTTATGAATTTTTCCTTCATCTCCCAAGCCGATCAGGTATTTACCCCATCAAATTGGTGACCAAAGAGCAGATCTCACACTTTGCGCCTGTCTCTCTCTTGACTTTTGACTATCCCTTCACATCAATCTTTATTAATATTTTTCTTATTTTTCTTTCATCTGACTCTCTCTGTCTCTCTCTTTTGTAATGTCACCGCCAAGTCCAATTTTGTTTACCAAAAATACCCTCAACAATTTACAAAACTCTTTCCTTGTCTTGGACAGATGAACATTCAGATTAGTGTCTAAACTTGACAGCTTATCCCTATATCTACAAAACTCTTGCTTTGCCATAGGATTCTTTTAATTATAGGTATACCGATGCTACTGCCAAATATCATATCGGGTACATGGGAATCGGGATGAAGGGTACACAAACTCAGTCTAATAATGAGATCGAGGATGGACAAAAAGAGTACAAACTAGGACTATTTTTTTTTTTTTTATAAAATGGATAGCCGACTCCCCTTCTTTGACATGGAATTGGAATTTGATTGGTATTACCAACTTAATTGGAAAATAGTTTTTGCAGAAAAAAGATACTAAAAAACGGTTTTTTAATTTTTTGGGTAGGGGGGTTGGTGTAAAGCTAAAAAGATAATGTAAAAATATTTTGTAGAGAAATTATCAGGACAAAAAATTGGTAAATAATATGGATCACGCTTGACACCCGACCGTCTGAGTTTCAGACAGACACAGAGCAACTAAAATTGTTCCCGGTTCCACAAAAGTTGTAATTCTACCTCTGGTGTTTGTTTGTGCTAACCCTTGATTTTTTTTTTTTAAGTATTAATGACTGTTTTCGTCGTTTGTTCCAAAGTTCAAAAATTTTGGCTCTTGGGTCTCATCTTTCTTCTCAACTTTGATGCGTCTTCAGAGGTTCTCCAAGGTTTGTATAATTTATATGGGTTACTTTTTACATCCTGCCCAGCGTTGGTATTCTCGATTACCTAACTTATTGGTGTCACGAACTGTGTTTTTTTTTCCATTTTCAGGTTCTTCTGGGTTGTTACAATAATGGGTTTTCCAATCTCATTCCTGGGTCTTCATCGTCTCAGCTATTAAGATCTTTCAATGAGGCTGCAACGCATGGATTTTCTGCAGTGTCGGGTGATAATTTAAGGAGCCTACCTAAGAGTGATTCCCCGAGGAATTACCAAGTTGTGGTGGCTGCAACTCGTGAAATGGGGATTGGAAAAGATGGCAAGTTACCATGGAAACTACCTACTGATCTCAAATTCTTCAAGGAGCTTACAATGACGACATCAGATCCTGAGAAGAAGAACGCTGTAGTAATGGGTAGAAAAACCTGGGAGAGTATTCCACTTGAGTTTAGACCTTTACCTGCTCGCCTAAATGTTGTCCTGACTCGTTCTGAATGTTCTCATATTACAACTGGAGAAGATGTTGTAACATGTAGGAGCATTTCATCAGCTTTGGAATTATTAGCAGAGATTCCTTATTGTTCTTCGATAGAGAAGGTGTTTGTCATTGGCGGTGCCCAGATATTTAGGTAAATTTGAGTTGCAGTTGTTGAATTTAGTTGATTAGTTTTGTTGAAAGAGACATATTTGATGTTTTATAATGCAGGGAAACACTCAATGCTCCAGGTTGTGAAGCCATCCACATTACTGAAATTGACACCAGCATCGACTGCGATACTTTCATTCCTGCAATTGATTTGTCTTGTTTCCGGCCGTTGTACTTATCCAAGCCATTAGTAGAAAACTATATCCGGTTTTCTTTTGCAACATATGTTCGTGTGAGAACTGTGGCAACTGGTTCTCCTTCAAATAATGAAGTTAAGTCTAATGGCAGTTCAAATTCCTACAATTTTGAGGTAAAAAACTATACTTTCCTGCCAAGGATGATTCTTGAGAGACATGATGATTAAATGTACTTCAGACGTATTCAAGAAATTATCTCAAATGGCAAGCACCATTTTGACTGGATAGATACAAAATGCTTGGTAGTCTTTAACTTTGATTCTCTTTGCATCTACTGTTCTTGACCTCATATTTTGTTCTTTTGTTCTTGCTGGTATTTAAATGTGAATATGAGCATTGCCGTGGTATCAAAACTTGCTGGATGATCAATATTTATCGAACCCCAATAATCTGTACCATTATAATCAACTGTATGAAGCTTCATGGTCTTTTTCTCTTCTCGTGTATGAAGCTTCATGGTTTTTTTCTCTTCTCTTGTCTCGTATTTTTTAAAGAATGTAAGGGAAGTATGAACTCAACACCATCTTTCTATTCTTCTGATGAAAACTCAGCTCAAAGTACCATATTTCCTCCTTCAGCATCCCATTGGTGTCATTTTTCTTGTTAGAAACTGACTTATGATTCCTTGAAGAGGACAACAATACCCTCTTCATCTTCACACCTTTGGATACATCAACCAATTCTTGGTTCTTATCAGTTATTAGTAGTCACTTGCAATCCTTTCTCCTTTTCAGGCATGTTAACTTTAACCCTTCGTGTCGATGAGGATAACTTTTTCCCCAAGTAAACATTAGCAGCATGGAAGATTTTGTTAGCGGTGGTGAGTCCATCAGACTCTTCAATGATAACTGTGAGATGAGAGCATTAGGAGGAGATGTTTTGTAGATGCAACAAGAACCGACCCTTGATGGTATCCGGGATGAAATCATTGGCAATGGTTGGAAAGAGAATGGCTGAGGCGATGAGAGTTCGTTTCATATGAAGGCATTGTTTTGGTTGAAAACCGCATGTTTCTTTTTTCCAGAAGAGTTCGTTTTTGGGGTTTTAGAGAGGTTTGGGCTAAGCAAAGGAAGAACAAAACTTAGATGGTTTTGCTTGCTTCGCTTGGAGAAAACGAAAGAAAAATCTCTTAAATGGGGGCTTTTGCTTTTCCGAATTATAAAACAATAGATTAGGAACTAGATTTCTCTGGACTCTGCTTTTCGAGCCGAAGAGGGAAATCCATCATCTTCAAAAAAGCTCACACTCCCTTGAAAGCCTGGTAACTCGAAACTCTCACTATCTCAGTAACTTCAAAAGTTTTCATGTGAATTACAGACTAATTTTCCCTCTTTCAAACTCCTTAAAATGTAAAAAAATTGATGAAATAGAGAAAGGGGTAATCAAATTGTTCAATCCCATGCGAAAAATGTAACTAATTTCATTTTATAGTTGGAAAGGATGAGTGGGCAAGCAAGCAACGTTAATAGCCACCTAAAAAGATAATAAAATTAAAACATGTGAGGGTCTCTTCCAAAGTCTTTTTCCTACTAAAAAAATTGGATCAAATGAGCTTTTCAAGTTGATATTATATATTGATTCATCAATAAAAGAGACGGCTTTCACAGATTATATCATATTACATAGTTTCATCAAATCGACATCTCAATTTGTATGTATAGTGACGGATCCATTGTCAGTAATATGGATACATTCTGTGTTTTGCCGAGCTAACCAGACACTCGTTGGCTTAATTAATTTATTTCCAATTAGGAAAGGCAAAAATATATACAGTGAAGAATGGGTAGTTCTAATAGGGATGTTAACAAGCAGGATAAAGCGTTTTTCATCTTATCTTATAAAATTTTATTTTATACTTATTTTCGTATCAATATTTAACGAATAGTTTAAATTTATTTTCAACCTCATCTATGATATTTAATTAGGTAATTTTTATACCTATAGTTTAAAAAAAATAAAAATAAAAATTTATTTTTTTAGTTTTTTTTCTATCTTGTATATTTAGATTTCTTTTAGTAATATATATTGATATATATATATATATTTAATAAAAATATATTAATTTTAATTAATCTAAAATAATAATTTATAATATTTAATAAAAAATTTATTTACTAAATATAAATATATATATATATATATAAAATATATAAGTACAAGACAGATATTATATTTCAAGCCTTTATCTCCGTAACTAATAAAAATTTAAAATTATTCCTATTCCCATCTCATTCAAATAAGAAATCAAATTGAATAATATTAACATTCCTAAGTTCTCCGTAATAATTGCAGCGGCTCACTGCCCTTTACTAGGATCAGGAAATTGAGTCAAACTTTGGAGTGTAAAACCTACTATTTTAAACAGCAATAAACATTGCCATTTCTTTCGATCAAGCTTTTGGCAAAATCCAACAAAAGGAATATCGCATCATTCATATACCATATCAGACCACATTAATAAAGCAAAAATTCAACTTTAACTATACTAAAATTAGTCCAAGATATTCTGTCAATCGATCACCAGTTTATGATATATACTAGGGGAAAAGCTGTATGTTTATCCACCAGCAGGAAAGAATTGCCATTTGCAATCTAATGAAATTAGAATTTGAAAATTTACGACAAATGATACATTGGAAAATCGAGATATTAATTACAAAATGGAACAGTAACTGTAAAGATCATCACCCACAACATACCAAACATTGCATTTCTGGCATGTCTTTGAAGTGTACAGCATAAGATCTTTTCGGTCATCCTTCTTCTCGTCCTTCTCATCCTTTGCAGGCCCTATGCTTACAATTGATGCATGTTTTCTGAATTTCCTGACCTTCTAAATGATCTTAAACGGATCAGCATCACCGGTCACAGTTACACTATTTTTGGATGCATCAAGGATGATAGAAGTTATCCCCACAACGTCAGAGATTACCTTCATGACCTTCTGCCTGCACTTTGGACAAAGCAGCTCCACTGACAGGATAGTTTTCTGCACCAGGAAAAAAGAGTACTTTGTCTGAGCTCAGAACAGACACAGTCAATCCAATATCCTATGAGTTGTAAACGTACTAAAAGGATGTAAGTGCAGGGAAAGAATGGCAGAGCAGAATGATGGGTCAAATACATAAATGCATAACAAAACAAACTTCAAATAACATAAAAGCAATATGGAAGCTAAATGGGTTTTCAGCTTTCAGGGGAAAGGAACCTTTGACATGGTTTTCGAGAAAGCACACACTAACTACAATTGTAAAAAGTTGGATGAGAACAAGCTTCTCCAGGAAAAGGTAATAGATTCGAATTTCCTATTTATAAATCATTACTACATCTCTCAATTTCATTTGATTATATGTAATTTTAATGTGTTTTTTACTACGGTTTTTCTTATGCTTTTGGATAGAAGTTTGGTTGGATACTAAATGGACTGACAGTGCTAGTTGGTGACAAGTAAATGTCAGTCAGAAGGTTCTTGATTGGGTTACCAATCGCATCGTACTCTTAAATGTGAGTTTTACGTGGATCCCAAACACAATTACAATTCACAGGCATGTGCGCTGCATACACACCTAGAAACAAAAACATGACTTCATAATTCTCACTCATTATGACCTTGAATGAGTTTTGAATGAAACACACCAATATAGCAGTTTCCCTGGCTCACAAAATAACTCCTAGTCATTAAGGAAAATTCTTTCTATTGCTAATAATATATGGTACAAGCAGTAACACATATAACATATGACATTGACTCAATGAAAAGTTAACAGTCAGCAGCCAAACAATCATTTTTGCACAGAGTACATACAGTTGAATGCTTTATCTGAGCATATTGTCAGAGTAACTAGATATAACCTTTCCTTCTGATTGCAGAAGGCTGTCAGCCCTATGACCTTGAGGTTTTCGGTACAACTTTAGCAGGATTTTCTGTAATTACCCATGTGTCTATCTCCTCTTGAGGAGAACATGTGACATTGAGTTTGTGTGTGTGTCAGTGGTTGATCAAGCTGAATGGCAAAAGTCACACTTATACAGTTATACCACTCATTTAGGTACCTTATACCTAGAGATTATAAGGTACAAAGCAAGCCCTCTTGACGGTCTCAAAACTAGCTGATTCTTCTATATAATTTTCTCCGCAGAGATGGCAATTCAGCATTGAAGGTAAAAGCTTAAGTTTTTAATTAAGCTATTAGAACTGAGACCAGGATTAGGAAGTTGTTTTATCCTACTGAAAGATCATTGACTTTAGGTTGTGATCTTAGACAACCATAATTCTATAAGTTTGAGTTGCCTTGTCCACACAGTGAAGTAAGTTTAAGGGCCAGCAGTCAAGGGTAGTCTAGGAATTTCCTCAAGCCAAAAGGGCAAAGAAAGGTGAAAAACAATTTCCGAAGCATTGAAATGTCTTTGTAATAAGAAAGTCTTGAATCATCAGATACTATAATAAATGAAAATTTAAGCATTAAACATATACCTGGCAAGCCAAAAATGTGTCGCAATTGCAGACATATAACTTTAAGAAACCGGGGGACCTTCCTCCAATGGTCCAAGCACTTTAGAACTGAAATCTCCAGCTCTCCAGCTCTGATTGGACAAAAAGTCTGCAAAACTTCAAATACAAAGTATCCAAAGGGGAATAATTTTACCAAGCGTGAAACTTCAAATGAAGAAGAGTTAGAATCATTCTGATTTCACACATATGCTATTCCCCAAAACATTGTAGAGCTTTCACCAAGAGGTTATATCTTCAAATCAAATTCTTGTTTGAGTTACAGGCTTATGGCTCAGGAGACCATTGTCAATGCTAACCTCGCACAGAAGATTAATGCAAAATCAAAGAGACAACAGAGCTTCATGCTGTCTAGAAAGAACCACCACTTTGTTGAACGGATGTGAACATTATTGTAATCCAAAAATCAAGGCCCCCTTCACATGCTCTTAATGTCCTTTCCATGCATAACTCAAGCTGTTGTTCTAAGAAGTTTATTATGTTAAATTCCTTCACATGCAAACATTACACAAATTGGTCAGGCTTAAGAAGGAAATAAACAACAGAATTCATTAGTTAGGCCTTTACATAAAAATTCTTATTTGATAAACTTTAAAGCAAGAATTTTCATCAACATAAAATACCATTGAACTTTCCACTAAAAACAGTAAATTCAATATCCAGCTGTATGATTTAATTGGCCATGTGGGCTCAAGATATAATGGCAGTGAGTAGTTGATACATCACTTTCCCAGTTAGTCCAGACCATTTTGGTCTGTCATTTTCCCTTTTTCTCCCCTGTTAAGCACCCACTAGTAATGGAATGTTAACCTGCTGTCACTCTGCTGAAACCAGATGAGACATGCCCGTATGGTAGCATTACAAATATATAACATTGCAAGAGTTAAAATTAATTAACTCTTTCAAGCAAAGAAACAGTTTGAAGTTCAATGGCAAGGTGTAGCAAAACCCAGCATAGATGATTCCTGACAACTTAGTACTTGAAAAGCATAAAAGAATTTTACATCAAAGGGTTGAGAAATATTGGAGCTTTGCAGCGCAGAGAGAAAGAAAGTATTATAGACTAGAAAGAGCAAAGTATAGGACGAACATATTTGGTAAATTATCAAGTAACTGTAATCTGGCAAGAGTAAGACAAACTGGATAGCAAGTTACAGAGTCATGGTTTATCTGATTTTAAGGCAGTCCACATTACATTGGACATTGTACAAAAAATAGGAAAAAGATTAAATTCTTTCTGACCAAGTAGTCTCTCACATATGTATATCTGAGCATAAATCAGTTAATATGCAACTGCTGTGAAAGAACTCAGATCATTTAGTTTCCACATAAAAAGGAAAAAATAAAAAAGAAATTATCTAGCATAAATCTTTACGCAAAAGATACAGACAACAGATTATATTCCCGAAGGGAAATCCAAAAGCCCCAAAAAGAGGTGAAGGAAGAACTTAAGCCTAAAGATGAGCAATACTCATCTTCACTCTTACAACCTTTACTTTTACAACAACAGTTCAGGAAACATATAAGAATTACTCGCACTTACCAGTAGAACCTTCAGTAAACAAACTGCCTTCTAACACATATCTTTTATCTCAATAAACTTCCATGGGTGTCAATTCTAACAGCAGCATCTGCTTTATGCTCAGTTTTGACAGAATAGCAGCTGAGAATCTTCTTATCTAACTCGTAATAGTCCTCCATTTTCTTCAAAGGTTTCAAATCCAGATCAATGAAATACACCTAGAAATTAGCAACTTACATAAGATATGCATGTAACACGAGAAAAAAGAAAGAAACATTGCCATAGAGGACTTTGATGTCAGCCCAAAGGAATTTCCTCAATATATTAAAACAGAGAGCTATATAATGTTTTTTTCTAGGTTCGTTTTAAAGATTGAGCAAATTAATATAGACTAAAAAAAATTGTATTAGCAAACCGCAAAAAATATTTGACCTCAAAAAGTTTTGGACAACAAAACCAAAACATGCACCCAAAAAGTATTTTGAGAGATTGCTTTCAAATGCTGTGACAAATGACAGTACTAAATACAATATTTTAGCATAACAATGAATTGAACAGTAAAAGTCAAATGAAAATGACAAGGGAGTATACCTTGTACTCAAAAACTTGGTTAGTTGATCCTAGATATACAGCATTGTGAGAAGATCCTGATCGTAAATCTCCATCTTCCTTTGGTCTAAAACTAATCATCAAACTACAGTCCTTTGCAGTTGCAGCTATTAGATAGTCCTTCACAATCTTCAAGCTTTCATCCAATGGAATGGAGTGCAAAGAGGCATAGCGGTGTGATAATTTGTTTTTACCCAATTCTCTACAAACCATACAAGGTTGAGAAATTATGTTATAATAAGCATGAATTGCCCCTTCAATGTCATAAGTATCGAGTTTCTGAACTTCGAGAAGTTGATCTAATACTCCAGAAGTATAAACTGTCTCAGTAACAAGCTGTATAAAACTAGCAGTGCGCAGGCCATTATCTGCCTGAATGACATTCTTAAGTGCATCTTCAAAGGCCTCACCAACCAGAACAGTAGTGCTGTCTGTTCCACCACCCAAGCCCCCGAATACAAGAGAACCATTCAAAAATACACGAAAATTGTTCTGAGGGGTGGCATATAGAGCTTTGATAGCTTTACATATCCTGTCTCTGGATCCAGAGAATAGATCCAGTGGATTATATTCACTACATTCTGATATCTGAAATTTTTTTTAAAATATCAGAATATTAAGAGTGTGAGAATAAACATAAATATTAACAAAAAAATGACCATATTAACTAATATATAGGTGAGAAATTGCTAGAACAGGTACTCTTCTCTTGCACTTTGCATGCGGGCACAGTAATAACTTAGCACCCAAAAACACCTAATAATATGAAGAAACAAAAGTTACCTCTTGTTTCTGCAACTTGAGTGCTTGGTGCATTCTAAACCGAGTTATGGTTCTTTTAACAGCATTTTCTTCAGCTATGAATCTTGAGATTGGGAGAAATCCGCATTTAGGCTACTTCATCAAAACAAATGGAAAAGTAAAACTTATTAGACCAAACGAAAATGCATAACAGGCAAAAAAAAAAAGGGATGACACAAAGAAATTGAGGGAAAAAGGCATAAAAAGAAATCCACCTTTATCTCAACAGTTATACATGGTCCACCTTTAAGGGCACCTGAAATAAAGAAAGTGCAATGATATAAAAACCTAATGCAATCTTTGCCATATTGCATAAACTAATTTTAATCATTTATGATGAAAATCCAGGTTGATGTTTGCTTAGATTTAACTACTTGTATTCTGCTATTTGAGATAAGTTCTAGAAAAACGAAAATGAGAAAGACCATATATATATGTGTACAAGGTCTTCCCAAATTGTTGGATTTTCCCACATCAATACATCAAGTAAGTATAATCTAGTTAACAAAATCACATTAAGAACAAAAATTCTTTAACTGGCCAGTTTGCACAAAGTAATTTTAGATATACAAATTTCAACATAGATAATATACAGTGAGCTACTTCCCAGTACTTTCCCTACTTCGAAACCAGCACCAGGCAAACATTTTGTTACCTGCATTCTAGTAAAAGTAAGTCTGCAAGTAGTACTTTTGGTCTCATAAGTATAAGATTGGAAGGCAGCTATAGGGCTATCTAATTAAGCTTAGCTGAAGAGGATTACAAAGTCCTGTTTTATTCTGTCTATAATAGTGACAAAAGAAACTATCATCCCTTTACATTTCTAAACACAACATGAGAAAATACAAACTAGATCAAGAGAAGGCGAAATGACCATTGGGAAAGATTGAATGATCCGATATGATGAGCGCAGAATCACGATTTACATCAACCAAGGATGAATCAACTCGCCAAGCAGGCCGTTGACAAGTCACATTCTTCTCAACAGACTCAAGGAATTCCTTAGAAACAAGAACACGCATCTGCCAAACTCAAAAAGACCAAGAATCCAAAGGCAATCATAAAGCTCATCAAACCAAAATAACTAAATCAGAATTATGACAACCAGTACATATATATACCCCGGCATCGACATGTGTTGGGCCTAACAATGGGCTCATGACATGTTTGACGTAAAGTTGCTCTACAATCTCTCTGTTTGGCGACGCTGTTAGCTCCTTATTTTCTCGCCAAAGAAGCCGTTCATGCGTTGTTAAAGCTCCGTTTCCGTTCACTCCATTTTTGCCGTTCCGTTGTGACTTTTGTATTCGCATCACTTTCCCAATCTTATTATTATATCAATAAAATTCCAAACCAAAAGAAAAAAAAAAAAAAAAACAACAACAATTTCAAATTAAAACTCCAGTTTAATTATTTAAATTAAATTAAAATCTCTGAAAAAATAAATAAAAAATTTGTTGAACAACTTACAAATGTTGGAGATGATCCAGTGTAAGCGAGAACAAGATTAGCAGCCCCTTCTCCTCTGTAGACCCAATCAACTGCATCCTTTCGCTCTAAAATCACTTTCTCCATCTATCTACGTCAGCTGCGATTCATTCACAGATTCACTATATAAAAATTAATTAAAAAAAAAACTTAAAATGCATTGGATACCTGATCGGAAAATCTAAGAACGATCCAGATCAAATAAAAAGATATAAACAATAGAGAAAACCACAGCCAAACAGTCGTTATTGCGGAATGGTAGAGAAGTGAAAAGACGGCATTGGAGCTCAGCTTTTCTTTTAATGGAAAAAAGCGAGACTCTAATCACTATTAGCTCAGCTTTTGGTTGACTACAAACAAATTAAAAATTTGGCCGCCTTGGGTATAATAAGTGTTGGGAAACGCGATTTGTCTATAAAATTGCTTGCCCGATTTATATGTAATTTTTTTTTTAATTTGAGAATTTGGGTAATTTGCCCTTTTTGGATGTTGAGATTCTTGGAACGACATTAAATTATTAAAATCAAGCAACAAAACTATACTGCTTTTTTTTTTCGGTGGACCCCAAAAAATGTAATGCGTTCGGATTGTTTTTAGTTGTGCTTATTTGATACAACAATGGACAACAAAATTAGTTAGGTGAGATTTAAAATAATGATAAGGGTGGGATTAAATTATATTAATTATCGTAATAATAAAATTAATAATTATGATAAAAATATGTATTTAAATATAAATATAATAATAATGATGAGAAAAAATATAATATTTTATAGAAAAATAATTGATTGCTATATTAAAAAATATATCTTTATTTTTAATTTTTAGATCAAAACAATCTACCGTTTAAAGTCCAATAAACCTCTTCACTAAAGATTAAAGATGGGCAGGACACCGACACCACTTACACTACGAAATATCAGGGAAAGATTTAAAAAATTTTTAAATAAAATTTATAAAATTAATTATTAAAAACTAAACTTAAAAAATTTTATTACATAAATTAAGTGTGTCAAATTTTTAAAAAATTTAATAAATTATTTAAATAAATATTTTTAGTAAAAATATTAATCAAATTTTAATTATAAATAATTTTTTACATATTATTAATTTTTACATTAAAATCTCTCCATTTTTATATTTTGATTTTTATTAAATGTTTATTAAATTATTTAAAAAAACTTTACAAACTTTATTTAAAAAATTTTATATAAATTTTATCCTAAATATTGTAAAAAAAAATCTGAATTCCATCCCACCGTCCAAATTCGTGCTAATGCTTATTTGATATTGTTTTTCTTTTCTTTTTCTTCAAAAGTTTGGAATCTTTTTTGGACTACTTTTTTTTTTTTTTTTGAAGTCAGTTTGAAAAGAACGAGAAAAACATTTTTTAATCTTTTATCAAGTAAAAAGGTAGGAGAGTTCTAAATATGTCTGCTAAACATTGAAAGATAACTAAGAATTGGCGAATATTTTTGGGTAGGATAGTTAAACCCTTTTTTTTTTTTTTATTTCTTTTCAACTTCTTTTTGCCTCACGCAAGAATAAGTTTTTCCCTAAAGCCTGAGACCACTGGTAGATAACATAGATTCTTATTTCCTTCGGGTATATACTGTATTATGGCTCAATATTAGAAATGATGGTCTTAAATGAAGAGAGTTATTGATATTATATTTGTAACATTTTAATTTCACATTCAAATATTTTAAAATTTTGTTATGATATATAAATAGATATTTAATTTTAAACATGTAAAAAAATATTTGTGAGATAAAACTGTAAGATATTTAAGTCAAAACGAATAATTTTATAAATTGAGTGTGAATTTTTACAAATAATATCAGAATAATCATCAATTAAATGAGAGTTAAATGTTATATTATAAGAGCTATTTCTAAAATCCTAATGACTGGTGTAATTTTAATGATTTATGTGTATTTTATGTTGAGTCAACCCAATGTTTGGTGTAATTTAATAGATTTATGTAATTTGTGTTAGGTTTAATGAAGATGTTAAGTTTTAACAGAAAAATTTGTAAAATCTAATCTCATAGCAAAATATTTTGATTATCTGTTATAATATATAAGTTGATGCTTAAATCTAAATCTGTGAAACGTTTTTTATGAGATAAAATCATGAGATTTTTGAATCAAAACGAACAATTCTTCTTAAGTTGAATGCTTTTCACATTACTATTGCACATTAAAAAAGAATAACTAAAAAAAACCTAATGATAAAAGTTTATATAAATTTTAAAATTAATATCAACTGATATTAAAATAAGTTGGTATAGAATTTTTATTAAAGTTTAAAGATTACAAGTTTGAAAAATTTTATATATATTATTTTTTTAATTAAATAAATATAAAAAAAATAAATTCATAAAAAAAAAGAAAATATTCAAGCTAACTCGATAAAATTTTAGATGAGTTCGAATCCAATCGTGTTTGATTTTCGTCCATGAATTTCTCTCTTTTTAGGAAGCTAAAACATCTATAGTTAAAGGCTTATCTCTCATTTGGGACGCATTTTTGAGCCATCTTTTTCTAGTGGCCAGGCAGTGTTTTGTGTTTTCGGTACGCAATTTGTATACGTCTTCATTACGATATAATATATCATCAATGCACCTCAAGTGTTCAACATGTGAAGGACAACTTTAATGTGTGTATAATATAGGAAAAATTAATTAGTGCAACAGACAGAAAGTTTTAGACGTCGCAAAGAACTCACAAATTTTCATTGTCCTAATTTGAAACTACGTGCAAGGACAAAGATATTAAAATTTTTGAGGTTTTAAATTTAAATTTATTTTGTGAATTTGATATAATTTTAGATTAGATTTGATTTATTATATGTTAATTTAGTTTTTTTATTTAATTCAGTAATAATTATATGAATGTAAAATTTTGTAATAATTATACTTGTAATTTCATAAAAAAATTATGAAAAATTAAGTATGTTTCCATAATTTTCTAATTTCACTTTCCTTCCTTTTGAATAATAAGTATATTTCCAAGAAAAATAAGAGGATATAGTACTTAAGCTGCAAATTTGGAATGATTTCCACGAGAGAGTGGGCACGGCTCCAACAATGATATGCAGCTTAAATACAAAACCGGTTGTGGTCTCTATGGTTTGGTTTTAGCTTTCATACGAGTCACTGAAATGCGACTGGAATTGATACCTAATGAAATGATACAGCAGTGCAGCGGTTGCTTGGGACCGCCTTTTGGTTCATGTCATATAATTAATAAATTCAATTATTGTGTTATTTTTGTTGTGTTTGTTTCGTATTAAATAATATAAAATATAAAAATATTATATCATAATTTATATTAATATATCAAATATAAAATTTATTTTTTATTTTTATTAAAAGTTTAAATTTTAGAATTTTTATATGGTATCATAGATCCAATAATATTTTTTTTAAAGAAAGATAGGTAAAGAAAATTCCTAAACACATTTAATCAATACAAAAAGCAGATAAAAGTTATGGCTTGGTTTTATCCTCTTATTTATCATTTCACCATTAATGACGTGATTATTAATGTGTAACCATTAAATTTACAAGCATATACAATTCCATCTTTATTATTATTATTTTTTGAATATATGAAAAATCATTGACTTCGGGCTTAAATTTGGCTCACAAACTGTTTCATTTACTCAGTCGACTCTATATATATGGCACCAATACCCACCACTCTCTTCGTTCTGCTTTCTAACCATTAAATATAAAAACAAAACAGAGAAATTAAGAGAGCAAGAAAACGATGGAAGTAATGCAAGTACTTCACATGAACAAAGGAAATGGCGAGACTAGTTATGCAAAGAACTAGACGGTTCAGGTTTTTTTTTTTTTTTCCTCATTTGAAACATCAGATACATGTTTGCCGTTTAATTCGTGTTTTGTTTTTGTTTTTTTTTTCCTTATAAATCTGTCTTTGCCTTCTTGTTTTTTCTTTCGATTTGTTAGTGCAAAATCATATCCGTAGGGAAACCAATCATTGAGGAAGCAGTACTAGAAATCATATGCAACAATGTCATAGAAAGCATGGGAATTGCAGACTTGGGTTGCTCATCAGGGCCAAACACCTTATCCGTGATATCTGAGACCATGGACATGGTACAAGCCGCGATTCTTCATCTTGGTCGCCGATTACCGGAGTTTAGGTTGTTCTTGAATGATCTTTATAGCAATGATTTTAATGACATATTCATGTCATTACCAGGATTCTACAACAGACTCAAAGAAGAGAAGGGTATTGGATTCGGGTCCTGTTTCATATCTGCTGTCCCAGGTTCCTTCTATGGCAGACTGTTCCCTGGCCACAGCCTGCACTTCATCCACTCTTCTTCCAGTGTTCACTGGCTCTCCCAGGTTAGTGACATGATACCAAAAAATCATGGAAAGGAGTTCCATGTTTCAACAACCCTTAAATTGTACTTAAAATATAATCTCATGCACGTACGGATGATACTATTATTTATTTTTTGTTATAGTCTTCCTTTTATTTAGAATCTCTGATGGAGTATAAGTCATAAAAGCCAAAACCTCGGCCGTAATAACTTTCTAGTTCTTTTTATCTCTTTTATCGGGGATATCATACAGAAATTATAGTATCAAATCACTGTATACGTTGAATGCCACTCAACCACTTGTGCGCGTAAGTTCAATAATTATTTCCAAGGTTGCATCATCGTATAGCTGTGGGCCAACCATTCGTGGGAACCCTAAATTTAGTAGGTAGCTTTTTTAATTAAGTTTTTAATTAAATTCCAGGAGCAAATTTAGAAGACTATCACATATGACATAACCTGTTAGGTTATATTAAGTAATTATATAATAAATTAACTTAATTAATATTAAATGGACACTAACAATTGATCCAAGTCTATAGAACTTTAATGGTGCTTAGGTGTGTCTAATTAAGGAAGAAATGCTGAATTTTTACAGGTTCCAGCTGGCCTGGAGCACAATGCTCTCAGACATTTAAATAAGAGAAAGGTATATATTTCAAAGACCAGCCCGCAAAGCGTGCTGGAAGCATACTCGTTGCAATTCCAGAATGATTTTTCACTGTTCATAAAGTCACGTTCCCAGGCCGCATGTTCCTTTCTTTCATGGGCAGGAGATCTGCTGATCCCACAACTGAAGAAAGCTACTATCAATGGGAGTTGTTAGCCCAAGCAATAATAAGCCTGGTTAGAGAGGTATATCTGCAACTGCAAGGCTTTTCTTTTAATTTTACATGCATTCCATTGAATATCAATTGGTAAGTTCATTCACTATAAGTGAAAATTTTCATGTTATTATCCCTTTTTTCCCCTTAAAAAAAAAGAATCACGTGAAGAATTGGACTAGAATCAATCCGTGAATGGCATAAATCAGTAATTGGTGAAAGTGGAAGAGCTTTCCTTTCAGGTTGAATAACTAAGTAACTATACTGAACTTTTTCCAGGGTCGAATTTAAGAGGAAAAAGTTGATTCTTTCAATGCCCCTTACTATGCTCCTTGTGCTGAGGAAATAAAAGTGGAGATACAGAAGGAAGGGTCTTTCATTATTGATCGCCTTGAAGCTTTTGAAATTCACTGGGATGGAGGTGCTGTTAGTGACATCCATACCACACAAGGGAAACTGTTGATTGGACAGCAAGTGGCAAAAACAATCAGAGCAGTGGTGGAATCGATGCTGGAATCTCACTTTGGAATTGGAAAAGATTTAATGGATGATTTATTCAGCAGGTATGTAGATATTGTCGGGAATCACTTGTCAAAGTCTAGAACCAAGTACATCAATTTGGTGATGTCCCTAATTAAAAAGGGCTAATCGAATCAAATTGGAAGCGCAGCTTAAGAAAAGTCTGCAATTTCTTAGTTCGTACTTCTGTTTTACTGAGTACTGTCAGCAATTCATTTGGATGTTTGACTACTGGTATTCTTTTAGAACTTTGCAATGAAACTCTGTACTCCACACCTCGCTTTGAAGTCGTGTATTGTCGATTACCAAAACCACCAAAGCAAATTTCAGTACCAATTAATTCCAATTCTAAAACTACATTGGATTGGCTTCTGCCCACAAAATCAACTATCATCAACCACTCATTTCCCTTCAACACTCAAGTATCAAGTATCCTGTAAATCAAGAGTCAGGAAGGCATGTATACGCCAAGTCGATAAAGAGAGATTGTGCCGCTGCAGAAACGACACTCAAAACGCACGATATAGTCAGATCGACAGATTTCAACATATCAGTATCACTGCAAATCTACTAGTGATGCATGACTTGGATACCAAAAAGTTTATAGACTCCGATGTTTGTTTCAAAAAAAAAAAAGGGCTCAAAGTTCGTTGGAAAGTTTTAGTGATATATAATGGTACTATACAAACTATTGATATTTGATAATATATTTTTTGCAGTAACTTTCTATGGAAACTACAATTCTTTTACTTTTTAACAGCACATAAAAATGGTTTGTTATTGCTTAATAGTAGATTACTGCAAACCAAATTTCATCGCAATAGAAACCCAGACCATTTTTAGTAATACATAGTGGTATTTTCTGTCATGAATAATAGATTAGGGACTACATATAATTTCAAGATCCCATCATGATTCATGATGTCTTTCGTATAATTTAATTTCACAATGAAAGATCCAGCGACAGGCACTGGCTGAGGCATATCTATGTAGGCCAATACACCAACACACCATTTTTAAACCGCACACGTGTTTTCCCATGCAATGATCAATATGAGATTTCAAAGTTCAAATAATATACAGGTGTATAACAGTATAAGGGCAACATAAACGTTGATGAAATTTTTCATTAATTTCACCTAACGAAGGACAGTACACAAGAAAAATGTTTCAGCTTTTGCTAGATGTAGGTCCTTATTGCCTTTGCTTTTACGCAGTTATGATTCTTGGTGTTCTGGTTTTTCTTGTGAGTCGGTTATGGAAGATGCTGCGGCAACTTAATCAGGAATCCAGGGCCGATATTCCTCCGGGTAGTCTAGGATTACCGCTTATTGGGGAGACTATCCAGTTTATGGCTGCCATCAACAGTGGCAAAGGCTTCTATGACTTTGTCCGAGTACGCAGTCTCAGGTGTTTAGTCTCCACTCTTTTAGTCAATTGAAACACAGCTTTCATGAAAAATTCTGATAGTCTGAAAGCTTCAAAATTGGCACCTTCTTTTCATAAAATAATATCTATTCTTGAAAGAATTGTTTTGAGAACAAAAATTATGAGATTCAATGAACCAAAACAAATAATATCTTGTCAGCATCCAATCTAGTTGTTACAGAATATAATTTATTCAACTCTACATGCTTGGAATTTGGAAATTAATGTGTTGTTTTGATGGGTCATTATTTTTGCTGCTTTTGACAGATACGGGAATTGCTTCAAAACCAGCATATTCGGAGAGACGCATGTTTTTGTGTCGAGTACAGAATCAGCTAAAGCAATCCTAAACAATGACATGGGGAGATTCACGAAGAGGTACATAAAGTCGATAGCAGAGTTAGTGGGGAATCAAAGCTTGCTCTGTGCTTCTCCCCACCATCATAAACTGCTCCGTGGCCGCTTAGTCAATTTGTTCTCCACAACTTCCATATCGCTGTTAGTTCAACAGTTCGATGAACTCATTGTTAATGCTCTTGGTGTCTGGGAAGATGAGGGCACTGTCATTGTACTTAACGAAGCTCTTAAGGTTTGTTGATGAACATTCTTTTCCTCTGAATTTATATGATATGCATGATTTGCCATGACAGGTTGCATATTCCGCCCAAGGTGTTCCAGTACTATAGTCATTTTATTTGGGCTTCATTCAGGCCTAATTAGCCGAATACTTTGGGGCCTTTACAAAGTAAGCCCCAATAAGATATAGGGCAAAGTAAAATTAATTCTTGCTATCTGATTTTTTTGGGCTCCAGGTGATAGTCGAATATGGTCTTTTGGGTATTTATCTTATACGGATATGTTAAATTTTTATTATTGTTATTATTTTTTATAAATTTAACGGATTGGACCTTTATATTTATATTCTTTGAATTGTGTCAGATACGAGTATTTAGAAGAAAAATGGAAAAATGAAACAATATAAAATCAAGAAATTGTTGTTGTTCTTATTTAATAGATTGGGAATCGAATTTGGTGCAGATAACCTTCAAAGCAATGTGCAAAATGTTGTTGAGTTTGGAGAGTGGACCAGAACTAGAGCTGTTGCAAAAGGATGTGGGTCGGGTTTGCGAAGCAATGCTTGCACTCCCTTTGCGGTTTCCCTGGACAAGATTTTACAAGGGCTTTCAGGTTATTTGATACCCCAAACTTCGTTCAAATTGGATAGGGCTTTTGTCCATTCTTTTTTCTCCATTATTTTTCAATATACTTATCACTATCATTCACATATGTAGATTCCACTCATAAATTATTAAAGTTGTATTGAAAATTAAAGAAAAAAAAGAAATGGAAGGGAGCTGGACCCGTCCAAATCACCTTGGATAGGAGCTTCTAAAGCTATTGGCCCATTGAATCCACATCATAATTTAGCACTAAACCTTTCCAATTTCAATTACTGATCATTAGGCTAGAGAAAGAATCATGAGTATGTTGGAGAAGATCATTAGTAGAAGAAGAAGAGGTTTAGATGCTAGTGCTGAAGACTTTCTGCAGCATCTTCTGGCAAAGGATGATAATTCTTGTTCGGGTGGATTGCACAGGCTAACCGATGCAGAGATTCAAGATAATATATTGACCATGATTATTGCAGGTTCCCGAACTAACCCATTTTTAATATTATAACATTGTTCATTCATATTTATATATAACCAATCAGTATTTGTTTGAAATCAGGTCAAGATACAACAGCAAGTGCAATCACATGGATGGTCAAGTATCTGGGGGAGAATGAGGAGGCTCTTGAAGCAATTAAGGCTAGTGGAAAATCAAATTTCTGATGCATGAAAATTTCAGTCACATTCTCAATAATTTACCTTTTGTCTTCTGGGTTTGTTTTTAATGACTAGAGCAGGCTGAGCAACTTCACCTTGCAGAAAAAACATCGAAAAAGTTATTTCTTACTCTGGATGATCTTAATGAAATGCACTATGCTTCTAAAGTTGTTAAAGAATCATTGAGAATGGCATCTATTGTACCATGGTTTCCAAGACTCGTGCTTCAAGACTGTGAGATTGAAGGTTCAATTTCTAACACCAAAATCAAACCAAAAGTTTATCCTATATATATAGTGAACTTTGGTGATTAAAATCCCTATATTTGTTTGCTGTCTTTTTTTATAAAGGATACAAGATAAAGAAAGGATGGAATGTGAACATTGATGCTAGAGCAATACACCTTGATCCAATGGTCCACAATGAGCCCAATAATTTCAATCCTTCAAGGTTTGATGTAAGTCTCTTCCTGGTGTTAGAGATCTAATTAGTTTTAATTTCTCGACAAGAAAATGGAAAGTAAAGTTCTGGAATGATGCGCTCTTTGCACACAGGATGAATCTAAGCCCTACAGCTTCCTAGCTTTTGGAATGGGAGCAAGAACTTGCTTGGGGATGAACATGGCTAAAGCTATGATGCTTGTCTTTCTCCACCGTCTTCTAACCACATACAAGCAAGTTTTCATTATCTTTATATTATGATATTTTAATACTTGATTTAATAATTGATACATAATTATGTTTAAAAAATTTAAATCATTGGTTCTTAAAATAAATAAAATTTGTCGTTAGGTTTTTAATTAAGGGTATCCAAAATCAATGAATGATATATGTTTAAAATTAACTATTCATTTGCAAAAACATAAGGGATTTGTTTTGTTGTTTTTTTTCCAGGTGGAAGGTGATGGACTCGGATTCAAGTACTGAGAACTGGGCAATTTTTTCAAGATTAAGGAGTGGTTGTCCTGTGCACGTTACACGTATTTAGTAGCAGCATAGTAAACCAAATTATTTAGGGTTTAATCATCAAATTTACTAATAAATATGTTAAGTAAGGAGTTGAACTCTTTCCAAGAAGAAAAACGGATTGTGAAATAGTTGATTATATTAATATAGTTGTAATATCAAGTACATATAATTAAATTTGAATCTTAATACAGTTGGTTCATGTAATATATTTTTATACAGGAAAAACCAAAGTATTAGAGGGATCAACAATATTAGAGGCATATGTTGGTACAGAAGAAGCAAAAATTGTTGGGACATGAGCTGTTTTAAGTGCAGCTCGATCATGAGTTATGACACATACACTGGTTGGTGTTTGCTAGCTGTTGAAAATGTCCGTATCATCAAATATTAAATGTCTTAACAGTTTTGTATTCGTCCGATGAAAATAAAATAAAAATATAATGGAATCGTTATCAATCTTTTTTAATTATGTGCGATTTAATAAGATTTTTAAATTTATTAAAACGATAATTTTATGGTATACAAAATAATTTGAGTTTGAAAGTCGGTTACGCGTGATGAAGGATTAGCACTTTATAGCGCTCGTTTAAAAATGGTACCTCTTAATTACGTGTTATCTTTTGATTTTGTTATAAAACAATCTTATTTTCAGTATTTGAAGAATAATTTTTTTATTTTTTCATTTGTTGGAAATTATTTTTTTTTTAACTTATTTAGTGCTTCAATTTTATTCGAGAAAAATAAATTAAAACTTTTTTATCAAAATAATTCTTAAAATGTTCCAATACGTTAGTAACATTAGAAGAACTTTTTCTCACTTAAAGATTTCTTAGGCATCGCTTCTTGAAGTATCTTAGAATCTCATCTTCGGAGGCTTCAATTTATTTTTCGTAAAAAATTTATGTCGTGCATGCAATGTAAAATATTATCATGTTGATGCACACATTTTATTCTCCTTTTTAGAAATTTTATTGCTCATTTTATTAATCTTTTCATTTAAAACTTGAAGAAAATTAATATTTTATTATATTGAAGATTTTCTATAAATATTTTAATACACTGGTAATATTTAAAAAAAAAATTTCACCTAAGGATTTCTTAAAACATCTCTACTCGAAATATTTTTAGAATCCCATCATCAGATAATATTTTTTTTTCTCATTTTTATTATTTATTAATTAATTTTTATTATTTTATTAAAGAAAAGAAAAAAAATTATTGTATTGAAATTTTTTTATAAATACTCCAATACATTGGTAGTATTTAAAAAAAATCTTCTCACCTAGAGATTTCGTAAATATCACTACTCGGAGTACCTTTAAATCTCATCGTCGAATAAAAATTTCTTTTTTCTTATTTTTTATTAATTTTGTATTATTTTTATTTAATTATACTTATCAAAAACTTTTATTTTATTATTTATTTTTATTAATAATTATTATAAAACAGTAAAAATTTATTCTGATAAATTTAAACATTTTTATATGCATAAATATTAATAATAAAATTTAAAATAACAAAAAAATTAAAAAAAAAAATTTTTACCTGAACCGGATTGGTCAACAGTCCGGTCTGGGTGGTTAGGTTTGTTCGACGTCGGTTCGATCCAGTCTGGACGATTCGACAGTTTATAGTCGGTTTGATTTGGTTTGGGCCAATCAAGGTCAAATGGTGAATTGGGTCAGATGCGTGGATCTCGGGTCGGGTTACGGGTCGACGCGCGGATCTTCTAGGGTTAAAACAGTGTCGTTTTGCCTGTTGCCCAAACGACGTCATTTTGAAGGCCTATTTAAAGGGCTGATCAATTGTTTCTTTTCAATTTTTTTCTTTTTCTTTCTCCTTCTTCGTCTCAGACGCTTCTCCCTCTCTCTCTAAAACTCAGAATTCGACAACTACTTTGTCGCATTAGATGCGGTCGATGGTAGTCGGTCGCTGTCTGTCAATCGTTGAAAAAATTTAAAATCTCTCAAAATATTCTCTTCGCCGCTTAAACACAAATTCGAGCTTAGTTTCGTAAAAAGAGGCCTTAAACCACGTAAATCTAGCTTGAAAGATTCGACCAAAATGGCTTTTCTGATTTTTTAAATTTTTTTATAGACTGACGATGTGATTCTCGTTCCAGGAACTGTGATTTTGCTTGTGTTTTGATACTTAATTTTTTTACAAAAAGTTTTTTTTTTAACCTGACAGTGTCTTTTTTTATATGTTTTTTTGTTATTTTTTTGCAGAGTCTCTCGACTTCTTTACCTTCTTTTCCACCAGTTTCATTGCTCTATTTATAGAGAAAAAAAAAGACCAAAATTTTAAAAAATCTGAGATTTTGGTGGCCTAGTATTAAGATGGCCATTGGCTATCAGAACGACTGTTGATGGTTGTTAGGGCCGGAGCGACTTGCAGGCGATTGGCAGTGCGACTGCCGACAGAAAAGCTGGCAAAAAGAAAAAAATATAAATTTGTGTCAACAACTGCCCCTCTTTGCCTATTTCTGAGAATCAGGAATAAGACAAAGACAAACAGATAACCATTTTATTCAAAAAAAGAAAAAAATTGGGCATAAAATCCTATTCTTTTTTTTTATTTATTTAGAAAGCTCCTCTAATTAGAGACTTAATAACTTTAAAAATTCTTGAAAATGCTCCTTTCAGCAGAGACTCAACAACTTTAAAAATTCTTAAAAATGCTCCTTTCAGCATAAGCTCAATAACTTTAAAAATTCATCTTAAAAAAGCTCCTCCCAACAGAGGCTCAATAACTTTAAAATTAATCTTGAAAAAGCTCATCTCAGTAGAGGCTCAACAATTTTAAAATTTCATCTTGAAAAAGCTCCTCTAAGTAGAGGCTTCACAACTTTAAAAATTCTTGAAAATGCTAATCTTAACAGAGGCTCAACAACTTTAAATTTCTTCTTGAAAGAGGCTACTCTAAACAGAGACTCAACAATTTTAAAAATTCATATTGAAAAAGCTCTTCTAAGTAGAGGCTCAACAACTTTAAAATTCTCATATTGAAAAAGCTCCTCTAAATAGATGCTCAACAATTTTAAAATTTTATTTTGAAAAAGCTCCTAATAACAGAGGCTCCACAACTTTAAAAATTCTAAAAATGCTCCTCTTAGCAGAGGCTCAACAACTTTAAAATTTCATCTTAGAAAAGCTTCTCCCAGTAGAGGTTCAACAACTTTAAAATTAATCTTGAAAAAACTCCTCTCAACAGAGGCTCAACAACTTAAAATTTCATCTTGAAAGAGGTTCCTCTAAGAAAAGGCTCAACAACTTAAAAATTTTCATCTTGAAAAAGCTCATTTAAGTAGAAGCTCAACAACTTTAAAATTTTATTTTGAAAAAGCTCTTCTAAGTAGAGGTTCCACAACTTTAAAAATTCTTGAAAATATTCCTCTCAATAGAGGCTCAATAACTTTAAAATTAATATTAAAAAAGCTCATCTCAATAGAGGCTCAACAACTTTAAAATTTCATCTTGAAAAAGCTCTTATAAGCATTTTTTATATATTATTAATTTTCATTTTTTATATATTGTTAATTTTCATATTAAATTTTATTAAATTATTGATTTAGATTTTTTATTAAAATTTTTATTAAATTACTTAAAAACAAGCTTTATTAATTTTACTTAAAAACTTTATTTAATTTTTGTCCTTAAATTATCGATTGCAAATAATTTGTTACAAGTGTTAATTAATAATTTATTTTAAATCATTCATAAATAATTTATGGATGAAATTTAAGTTCGCAATACAATATTTTATAAAAACAATCATTTATCCGATTAATCACATCATTATTCATAAAGTATAAAAAAGAGATTCGTAATACTCTTTACTTTATCCCTACTTAAAACTTTCTTTTGTGATTTAATTAAAATAACAAAAAAAATTCCTAAATTTTATCGTTTTACTTAAATAATTTTTTATACTTTTATTACATTCAAATAAATTTTTAATTTTTAATTTACACTTAATTAAATTTTTAATCATTTATTTGTATCTAAATAAAACCTTTATCATTTAATTTGTATCTAAATAAACTCTTAACATAAATAAATTTTTTTATATAAGAGTTTATTTAAATATAAATAAAATGACAAAACTTATTAAAATTTTTTCACCTAGGAATTTCTTAAAGCATCTCTACTCGAAATACTTTTAGAATTTCATCATCGGATAAAATTTTTTTTTCTCATTTTTATTACTTATTCTTAATTTATTAATTAATTTTTATTATTTTATTAAAGAAAAAAAATTTTATTGTATTGAAAACTTTTTATAAATACTCCAATACACTGGTAGTATTTTAAAAAAATCTTCTCACATAGAGATTTCGTAGGTATCACTACTTGGAGTATCTTTGAATCTCATTGTTGGATAAAAAATTCTTTTTTCTTATTTTTTATTAATTTTATATTATTTTTATTTAATTATAATTATCAAAAACTTTTATTTTATTATTCATTTTATTAATTATTATTATAAAACAATAAAAATTTATTTTGGTAAATTTAAACATTTTTATATGCATAAATATTAATAATAAAATTTAAAATAACAAAAAAATAATATTAAAAAAAATTCAAAAAAATTTTTTTTTTACTTGAACCGAATCGATCAATGGTTCGATCAACGTCGGTCTGGGCGGTTTGGTCTGTTCGACGGTTCGACGCCAGTTTGGTATGGTTTGGGTGATTCAACGATTCAGAGTCGTTCTGATTTGGTATGGGCTAATTCAACTGAACCGGTCAAGGTCAAAGGGTGAGTCGGGTCAGATACAGGGATCTCGGGTCAGGTTGTGGGTCGACACGGGGATCTTCTGGGGTTAAAACGGTATCATTTTGCCTGTTGCCCAAGCGATGTCGTTTTGGAGGCCTATTTAAAGGGTTTATAAGCTGTTTTTTTTAGTTTTCTTCTTCTTCTTTCACTTTTTTCCTCTCAGATGCTCCCCTTCTCTCTCTAAAACTCAGAATCCGACAACTGCTCCGTCACGCCGACCTCTGTCGGTGGTCGTCGATCGCCGTCTGTCAGTCGTCGAAAAATTTTAAAATCTCTCAAAATCTTCTCTTCACCTTCCTAAACACGAATTCAGAGCTTAGTTTCACAAAAAAAAGGACCTTAAACTGTGTAAATCTAGCCTGAAAGATTCGATCAAAATGGTTTTTCTGGTTTTATTTATTTATTTATTTATTTTTATAAACTGGCGTTATGGTTTCCGTTTTAGGGACTGTGATTTTGTTTGTGTTTTGGTGCTTGATTTTTTTTTTTTTTTGCAGGAAGCTTCTTTTTCTTGAACTTGACAGTGTCTTTTTTTTTATCTATTTTTTTGTTTTTTTTTGCAAGATCTCTAGGCTTCTCTACCTTCTTTTCCATCGGTTTCATTGCTCTATTTATAGAATTGGTGGCCTAGTATTAGGGCAGCCACCGGCTGTCAGA